TCAGGTGAGTCAGCCGTTCCTCTGCAAGGGAGCTCCCACTGCTGAGCTCGGGGCGCGGATGTGAGGTCATTGCTTCAAGGACGCGTCTCGCCGCGCGGTGACACCAGGTCAGCGGCTCAGTCTGCCGCCAGCTGAACCTTTCGAACACTTTGGATTCAGGAAGTAATGTTCAAATCGATGGATTACGGCGCGTGACTGTGTCTGTGGTGCAACCGATGGCAGCGTGCAGTCACGTTGGAACTGACGCAAGATGTATTTGTCAACCATTACGGTTTAAAACTGAAAATGCCGCCCGTCACGGGCAAAGCCAGCGCCAAGATGACTCGCTTGTTCGACTGTTTCATGGTTGACAGCCAGATAACAAACTAGCGTGCGTGCCTCCCCCCCCCCCCCCCCCCCCCCCCCCCCACCCAGTGCTCGCGATTGTAGTTATTGGACGATGGACGAACACCGGTCACGCAAAGTGGGTCAGGTAGCGTGACCTGGCGCCCCAGTCAGGTCACGCTGCAGTCAGGTAGTTAAGTCAGGTCACTGTGACTAACTGGATAAGCAAGGGTGCCTGAAACACAATGCACTCTTGCGACACTTGCGTTCATTCATACCGTACATTATGTTGTGGCTGCATGGTTAAACAGCGTGAAAATTGGGATGATAGCGATGATGTTGATGGTGATTGGTGCTGTCCTAACTTGTGGACAGTGCCACCGTCTTACACGTATTTATTTCCAGGTCCCTTGACGGTCGTTGCAACAACGTGCAGCGTGCGGGATGGGGAGGTTCATACAGCGCACTCTCTCGCCTGCTGACTCCAGCTTACTCAGATGGTATGCCAGCTGTTCGTGCGGGATGGGGAGGTTCACACAGCGCACTCTCTCGCCTGCTGACTCCAGCTTACTCAGATGGTATGCCAGCTGTTCGTGCGGGATGGGGAGGTTCATACAGCGCACTCTCTCGCCTGCTGACTCCAGCTTACTCAGATGGTATGCCAGCTGTTCGCGCGGGATGGGGAGGTTCATACAGCGCACTCTCTCGCCTGCTGACTCCAGCTTACTCAGACGGTATGCTGGCTGTCATACTCAGCGTGCGGGGTGGAGAGCTTCGCACAGCGCGCTCTCTCGGCTGCTGTCTTCGGCTTACTCAGACGGTATACTAGCTGTCATACACTCGGGAGACGCTAGCTGCCTGTTGGCGCATAGGGAGTGAGCTGTTTGCCACACCCCGAACATGCGACGTAGCTGACAGAAATGTGGCGTGAACTGTCACGGAGCTCTGCTATACGTTACGAGCATGGTTGCAGCTGGCCCGTATAGGGGTCAGCTGTTAGCCGACCCGGTGCTGCCGGCTAACCAACCAGCCGATTTCGTGACCGCGCCCAGCACATTAAGCGAAATCACGAACGTAAATGAGTTTGTCTGCAGCTAGTATGTCGATGCGTGGCACTCTAGAGGTGCTTTGGCTCACTCTGTCGTGTTATGAAACTAGGCACTGATGGCTAATGACTAATTCCGAGTCAGAAGAAAAGAAGAGCTGGTTTTCCTTTGGGTGTGGAGTGAAGCACTTACTTCGTTTGCTGTTCTCAGTAGCTCTAAATGAATTTGATTGTACCCAAAACCCATTCCACCTCAGCATGTCCTTTGGATGTACAGTGCTGGTGCTTTTACTCTCGGTCCCCCAGTCTGGCCATGCTCTGGGTGGCGGTCGCCGACGTACGGGGCCACTCCGAGAACTTACGTTCGCTTGGCCACAAACCAATGATGTTCGTTGATTTGACACTAGAGTTTCATCCAGGTAAATGATTTTTTCAGTGTCAGAAGATGAAAACGAGTCTATTAATGCTCCGCGTTGTCGTGGGAGCACAGCTAATCATATGAAATCAGCAGTGTACCCAAGATAGAGGCCCGATCTGGTAAAGGCGGGCTTTAGTACCCCCCCCCCCCTCTCCCCCACAGAGGCCCGCTGGGGGCACTACTGCCTTCAGTCGGTAAGAAATGATGGCCCTGGCGAGCCTCACAAATTATGTCCATTGTGCATCAATGGTTTCACACGTCTACGCACCGTTTCTAGCAGAGTCGTGGCGGCGTCGTGCGCTGCGACCTGTCCTGTCGTCATGACTCAGCTGCTGTCTGCGAGCCAGGCCGAGTCGCATGTCGGCTCGGTAGGTCTGACTGCCGCTGTGTAGATTCGGCGGGTCTGACGGCCGCTGTGTAGACTCGGCGGGTCTGACGGCAGCTGTATCGACTCGACAGGTGGTCTGACGGCCGCTGTGTCGACTCGGCAGGTGGTCTGACGGCTGCTGTGTCGACTCGGCAGGTGGTCTGGTGGCCGTTGTGTCGACTCGGCGGGTCTGACGGCCGCTGTATCGACTCGGCGGGTGGTCTGACGGCTGCTGTGTCGACTCGGCGGGTCTGACGGCCGCTGTATCGACTCGGCAGGTGGTCTGGTGGCCGTTGTGTCGACTCGGCGGGTCTGACGGCCGCTGTGTTGACTCGGCAGATGGTCTAACGGCCGCTATGTCGACTCGGCGGGTCTGACGGCTGCTGTGGCGACTTAGCGGATCTGACGGCGGCTGTGTTGACAGGGGTGTCGGCGGCACGAGTCCAAAGCATGGCAGGCGGCCCACTGCCAGCGGCGCTGCGCATATCCAACCGGCTGACGCACACCGGTCGCCGACGACACCCCTTTGTGACGGCGCTGCTGGCAGTCTGGGCCGAGCTGCTCCACCACGACCTGGCACACACGGCGGCCACGCCAGGTGAGCGTGAGGCCGCTGCCTCTGTCCCTCAGCCGCTGCATCCGCCCCTCAGCCATCGTCTTTGTCCCTCAGTCGCTGCATCCGCCCCTCAGCCACCGTCTTTGTCCCTCAGTCGCTGCATCCGCCCCTCAGCCACCGCCTTTGTCCCTCAGCCGCTGCCTCTGTCCCTCAGTCGCTGCCTCTGCCCTTCAGCCGCGGCCAGCAGCAGTGACGAACCCCTGCTACCCATCAGTCCACGGTCCGCACCACACCCCTATTATCTGAAGGGCATCTGAAGCCGTGCTTCTATCAGAGTATTCATGGACGCGGGAACGGGGAGAGGGATCTGTGGCTGCCATGGGACCTCCACTTTCCGAGAGCCCTATAGCGACACATGGGAGGAATCGGCTTTAATACTAGTATTGACGCCCCCAGCTTTTGAGTCGCTCCTCCCCCTATGCAAGAATTAAACCTCTAAGCATAAATATTGCGATATACGCGGCTGAGGGTGTAGTGTAGATTGCATCGCAATTATGAGTTGCATCGCCTGAGTGATATATTACGTTGAGCATCGTTACAACCATGGCCAGCATTGCGGCGACCAATGCCACATTAGTAATGTGCTACAGCCGATAAACGATAAACAAATGAGGTAAGTGAGCACAACACATATGCTCACGCGTAATCGCACGCCCTTGAAGCTCTCACGCCGGTACCTGCCCACTGCCAGCATGGAAGATGAACGCTTACCACACCCAAAAACACTGGGCTTCTTCTGTTGCATCCATGTTCAGCACTTAGTTTGCATTTCCTGGTGTCGACTCGGCCATGTGGAGGTCTTGGTGCGTGTTTTAGGACGTGTCTCATATATAATGTTGTTGCACGGCGGGGAGGACATCAGAGCGGACAGCCATTTTCCTCTATCTTCGAACCCGTTTGAGCCTACTCGTATGTCTTTACTGGCGACATCAACTCTCAACCTTGGTATTGCACGCCAATGTAGGCTTCTGCAAAGGTCGCCGCGCAGTTCCACTGGCTTGTCCTTTCCAGCTACTTGATATGCATGGTCCTCACTTGATGTCCTTTAATCTGCAAGCGGGTGGCTGTCGCGAGACTGTGCCGCGGAACTGAGGCTCTGTGTCGGCTGGTACTGCGCGCAAGTGTCGTAAGGTCTCGCTGGTGACCTCAAGGTCATTGGTTTGAGACGTGCAACCAGCTGCATGTGTTCGCTTCCTTCACCGCAGCTGATGTGGGCAATTTTGGATGCTAACTCGTCAGGCCATGGAACGTTGGATGCTGACACAGGTGGGGCCACTAGAAAATAACGACCGTTATCAGTGTAGCTTGACAGCAGCGGTCGTGACCTCCGTGACCTGGCAGGGGTCAACGCCGACGGGCAGCAGTGTTGTCAGCAGCCGGAGGAGCCCGGGTGCCTGCCCATTGTGACGCCTCACCGCTGCCAGGCCTACGCGCGCTCGGCGCCCGTCCTGCAGCCCGGATGTCACCCGGGTGAGTGTGCTCCCGATGTCATCCGGGTGCGTGTGCTCGCGATATCACCCGGATGCGTGTGCGTCTCAAATCACCGGGGTGAGTGTGCTCCGATGTCAGCCTGGTGAGTGTGCTCCCAATATCACCTGGGTGCGTGTGCTCCCGATATCCCCCGGTTGCGTGTGCTCCCGATAGCACTGGTGTGAGTGTGATCCCGATGTCAGCCGGGTGAGTGTGCTCCCGATATCACCTGGGTGAGTGTGCTCCCCATATCACCCGGGTGAGTGTGTTCCCGATGTCACCTGGGTGAGTGTGCTTCCTGCACCGGTCGGCATACAGGTCCTCGCCGCCGGCCGGCGGGCAGACGCGGCGCACGCCTCGCTGCAGAGTGCAGCCATGCGCCGGTGATAGCGCCGTCCTCCCGGCGGATTATGTGTCACCGCAAGTTAATCCCCGACGCGCCGCGGTTGCCCCTGCGGGGAATTCCCGGCGTAGTCCGGAGCGGACGGTGCTGCGCGTGTTGCTGCGCCTCCTGCTGAGTTGACACGTGGGTAGGCTGTGAGGGGTTTACCCGTGCAGGCCTCATTGCAATTCACAGCACTGCTCAGTCAGTACTGAATGCTGATAATAAAGCAGTTCCTCCAAACTTACATTGTGCACATCATAACTTGGAACTAGGAAGGCAATGCATGCACTCTATGCAACAACAGCTACCGGTGCCGTACACTTTATACGCACTATCAAAGGTTCCTATGGCGCAGAGCAACGGGAGCAGTTGAACATGGCGACGTCGTTCCTGGACGGCAGCTCGCTGTACGGCACCAGCTCGCGCGTCTCCGAGAGGCTGCGCTCCAACTCTGGGGGGCGGCTGAGGATGGACAGTGACGGCAGGCTGCCACGCGGCGGCACCGGCCCGTGCCGCGACGGCCAGCACAGGTGGGCGCCTCATCCGACCCGTACGCGAGGATACGCTCGCTCCGGCCGGTATAGAAGCGTTCAGGTCATTCCCCGTGTGGTGTGGGCGTGACTCAAGCAAGCCGGAGAGTTTCGTGAGTAGACGATAGTGCTGGCGAGCGACGGTACGAAAAGTGTAGGTGAGAAGCAGCAGATGCATTGAAAACGGATGCGCAATGCTGGAAAGCCGCATTTTTGTTGGTCATAAGCAAACGGATGGCAGATGTAGGAGCTTTAGCGCGTTTCCATCAACACCCTAATGATATTTCAACACCCAGTTTGCGTTGGCACCCCCGTCGCCTTCGCCCCCAGCCGTCGGCACCCTTATCGCCCTCGCCCTCAGCCGTCGGCACCCTAATCGCCCTCGCACTCAGCCGTCGGCACCCTTATCGCCCTCGCCCTCAGCCGTCGGCACCCTAATCGCCCTCGCACTCAGCCGTCGGCACCCTAATCGCCCTCGCACTCAGCCGTCGGCACCCTTATCGCCCTCGCCCTCAGCCGTCGGCACCCTAATCGCCCTCGCACTCAGCCGTCGGCACCCTTATCGCCGTCGCCCTCAGCCGTCGGCATCCTTATCGCCCTCGCCCTCAGCCGTCGGCACCCTAATCGCCCTCGCCCTCAGCCGTCGGCACCCTAATCGCCCTCGCACTCAGCCGTCGGCACCCTAATCGCCCTCGCACTCAGCCGTCGGCACCCTAATCGCCCTCGCACTCAGCCGTCGGCACCCTAATCGCCCTCGCACTCAGCCGTCGGCACCCTTATCGCCCTCGCACTCAGCCGTCGGCACCCTTATCGCCCTCGCCCTCAGCCGTCGGCACCCTTATCGCCCTCGCCCTCAGCCGTCGGCACCCTAATCGCCCTCGCCCTCAGCCGTCGGCACCCTAATCGCCCTCGCACTCAGCCGTCGGCACCCTAATCGCCCTCGCACTCAGCCGTCGGCACCCTTATCGCCCTCGCACTCAGCCGTCGGCACCCTTATCGCCCTCGCCCTCAGCCGTCGGCACCCTTATCGCCCTCGCCCTCAGCCGTCGGCACCCTAATCGCCCTCGCCCTCAGCCGTCGGCACCCTAATCGCCCTCGCACTCAGCCGTCGGCACCCTTATCGCCCTCGCCCTCAGCCGTCGGCACCCTAATCGCCCTCGCACTCAGCCGTCGGCACCCTTATCGCCGTCGCCCTCAGCCGTCGGCATCCTTATCGCCCTCGCCCTCAGCCGTCGGCACCCTAATCGCCCTCGCCCTCAGCCGTCGGCACCCTAATCGCCCTCGCACTCAGCCGTCGGCACCCTAATCGCCCTCGCACTCAGCCGTCGGCACCCTAATCGCCCTCGCACTCAGCCGTCGGCACCCTAAGCGCCCTCGCACTCAGCCGTCGGCACCCTTATCGCCCTCGCACTCAGCCGTCGGCACCCTTATCGCCCTCGCCCTCAGCCGTCGGCACCCTTATCGCCCTCGCCCTCAGCCGTCGGCACCCTTATCGCCCTCGCCCTCAGCCGTCGGCACCCTAATCGCTCTCGCACTCAGCCGTCGGCACCCTAATCGCCCTCGCACTCAGCCGTCGGCACCCTTATCGCCCTCGCACTCAGCCGTCGGCACCCTTATCGCCCTCGCCCTCAGCCGTCGGCACCCTTATCGCCCTCGCCCTCAGCCGTCGGCACCCTAATCGCCCTCGCCCTCAGCCGTCGGCACCCTAATCGCCCTCGCACTCAGCCGTCGGCACCCTTATCGCCGTCGCCCTCAGCCGTCGGCATCCTTATCGCCCTCGCCATCAGCCGTGCACATCATCCTACCACCTACATTTCCTTCCTTGTCTGTGCTAACAACTTGATATCCTAGTCCCGATCTCTGTGCTTTTTCTGTGTCCTCTGTTATGGCCTAATTCACAACTTACGTCGAGCACGAGAATTTCCACCGGCGTATGAAGTGAATGGGTAAAAATTTGGAACAAAATACCAACAAATGTCCCCCGTGTGTTACAGATTTATGCAGTTTTCACTTCCACCTGATTAAGGCGCTTCAAATCGCAAATATCTTGTGGCTACCAGGTGGCAAGGACAGACAATGGCAGTACATTCACCTGTTACAGCTGCCCGGAGACGGCTGACCCAAGAGCCAACACCCACTCGGGCATCGCCGCTCTCTACACCCTGCTGGCGCGCGAACACAATCGCGTAGCTGACCAGCTGGCCGACCTGAACCCGCAGTGGGGCGACGAGCTCACCTTCCAGACGGCGCGCGCCATCGTGGTGGCGCAGATGCAGCACATCACCTTCAGCGAGTTCGCGCCCTCCGTGCTAGGCCAGGTGACGTGCTGTCGCCGCGAGGGTGCGCTGGTCCACAACCATGCCACAGGAGGTGGGGGTGCGCTGGCCACTCTCATCCGACGTGGAGTTGTGTTGGTCCACAGCCATGCCACGGGAGGCGGGGGATGGACAGCTGGTCCCTCTCCTGCGGGAACACTGCCGCTATGCGGGCGCGCTGATCCACAGCCATGCTACGAGAGGCGAGGGTGCACCGGTCCACAGCCACGCCACGGGAGGCGGGGAGGGGGAGGGTAACTGGTCCTTCTCACGCGGGGAAGAGTGACAGTGAGCACTGCGCAATCAACGGATCCGTGAGCAGTATTATGAATGCTGGTATTCAATGGGTATAACAATGGTGAGGTAATAGGTTTGGGCGGTGTTCGTGCTTATAGATCAGCTGTTCGTCGTCCTTGTTTCGCTAGTGGTGTTCGTCACTTCGATCGCTTCCAATCAATTGTCAATGCTCGTGTCTTTTACACTCGTTGTGCACTGTATGTTAAACCCGTGCTGTGCACACAATCGTTGTGTTTACGCCCATGCCGTGCACATATCGTTATGTTTACACCAGTGTTGTGCACACTCGCGCTGCCCGCACCTGTGCTGCACACCCTCGTGCTCTTTGCATCCACATCACACACTCCCATGCTCCTCACGCATGCACGCTCACACTAGCTGCCGTACATCCACATCATACACCCCCATGCTCCTCACGCATGCACGCTCACACTAGCTGTCATACCTACACACTTTTGCTTCTTTTGTGTACGAGGTACGCAAATCCGGCAGGCGTGTTGTGCATACACTTTTCGTATGAGCTGGTACAATTCATAAACATGCCGCTGACAATGGCGCTGTCCCCCACGTTATCTTTGTTCATGCTCGTGCTTTGCGCAGTTACATGTCACAAAGTTGTTGTTCACTTGTTTTCTGGTGTTTTTGGCACTTTTCCGTTTGTCAGTCCTGTGGAATTTGTATTGTTCAAGCTGGTGCTGAAAGACAAGGCTGTTCGCGGTCGTACGTTACAGACCCTACAACCGGACATGCACTTCCATCAACGCAGCAACCATCGAACTGAGTAACGAACCTCATGCCTCAATCCGATGCTCTCAGGAGGTGATCGAGTTCTTCCAGCTAGACCTGCTGTCCTCGGGCTTCTACCAGAACTACACGATGGACTTGAACCCGGCGGTGACAAACGTGGCGGCCTCCGCTGCGCTCAAGTTCTACCTTACACTGTTGCCGGGCTACCTGCTTTACGCCAACGCCGTGAGTCATGCCGCTGCGGCACGTCTGCACGTTAGGCTTACTTCGGAGCGTCGTATCGGAGCCGACCAGGTTTTGGTCAAAACTCCTGCGGGCAGTGAAGCAGCGATCCACTGGATCGATGAGTCGTTAGCCGACGAATCGCTCTAAGATATGATGCATTGCACGCGAAGCGCCACCGGCGGGCTCAGGACCGCAGTGGGCTGGGTGAATCTTGTGGACAGTCGCTGATCGTGTAGCTGTTGAATACTGTTTTGTGTGCTGATATTATGATTGTTTGTGCTGTATATGGTTTTGGGTCTTTCTAATGGCAGGACGTATGATCTGAAATAGCTAACAAACGAAAGATTAGTCATGTGTTTTCCACGCTTCACATTTATAACTTTGATTTGTTTAAAGTTGCGAAGTTAGCATGCTTCGTGGAAAGAGCTATTGGCCAATGGCATTGTACAAAATCTGGACGCTTTCTCGAAGACAACAAACAGGAAATTTTGAAAGGGCCGTATTTGCCTATATTTCTGGCGTGACACTTCGCCGAGCCTAAGAAATTAATATTTGTTTAACACGCGTTCGGATGGGGGTCAAATTGACGTCCGAAGGTTTTTCGGAAATGTTCCCGAACAGCGCGGCGTAGCCGCGCCAAATTTTGCATAGCTATAGACAATTGAAAAACGAATCGTCTGGAACTACAAATTTGGATGTACCTTGTAAGTTCGCTGACCTATGGTAGGTCAAAGTCAGGCCATGGTTTCAGCGAAGGTAATTTCTAGGGAATCGTTCAATCTGATCCAACAACTGAGTGTTAGACGAAGCCATACATTTCTGAGATACTTTCTCAGGTAATACAACAATTGAATGAACAAATTAAATTGACCTAGGGTCCGGTATGAAGCTCAGACCGAGGTCAGAACCAACCTGTTTTATTACTCCATTACTCCTTGCTGTATGGAGTACTTTCTGGTGCTCATTTCCAATTTATTAATAACAGGGACCGCATTATACACCTTCGATAGACTTTTTAAAGGTCAGGATAGGTCACCCGTCTAAAATGATCCAGGTCAACATTTTGTTTTTAAGACCATACTACCTAGCGTAATCTATGTTGCTTATCCAAATGCAAAATCAAAGCAGTCTTGTATGATTTTGGTCAGCATTACCTTCAAGAGATCAAGCAAGGCCACTGACCTTAAATGAGCGCGTGGCCTTTTGCTTAGAACAGTTATCTAGATTCTAGTGGCCCTTTGGAGACCAACATGGAATTTGACCTTGTCTGACCCTATTCGACCCGAATGTCATAACCTAGGAACTTCAAATTTTAACCTAAGTGAGTTGATGTACAAGTCAACACACTCTGCTTATTTGGTGTCTCTAGCTCTCTTAGTTTCTGAGATCTCAGGGGGTCAAATTTGCCTCACCCGAGCGATGGGTACCCAGCCGGCCTCCCAGGCGCGCGTTAACTGTGGCAGGCCCCTTTTGCAAATGCATGCCCCCTAGCATAACATAAGCACCTTACTTAATAAAAGAGCACCTGGGCAAAAAGACAAGTGATGTGGGATAAACACACCCCTGACGCATACGGATATGTATGTATATCTGCCAAAAAAATACACGTCATTTTGATTATTGCATTGAAATACACATTATTGTCGTTCCATGTGCTCAAATATAGTTAACAACACTTAATCGAATATAATTCAAAGCTTTCGTCACAATTGTGCTTTAATGAAATGCAATAAATTGCATACATATAAATATGTATATATATACATATGTATATATATATAAATATATATATATATATATATATATATATATATATATAAATACATATATATATATATATATATATATACATATATATATACATATACACATGCGTGTATGTGTGCGCGTGTTTTGGTGTGTGTGTATTTGCGCGCGCATTCGCCCGAATGCTTTGAAACTCCCGCCGCGTGGTACAATACTCATCAAAGTTCAATACACACACACACACACGCACACACACACACACACACACACACACACACACACACACACACACACACACACACACACACACACACACACACACACACACACACACACACACACACACACACACACACACACACACACACCACACTGTAAAAAAACCGTCACATCAACAGTCAGTCGTCGAATATCAAACATCTGACAAGGATTCACATGACGGGTCGGAATGATGTATTTCCGTCCTGTCTGGTTCATGCCCTCGCATCACGATTGAACCAGCTGTCATGATGCCTGTGTGGCGCCGACTGTCATGATGTCTGTGTGGCCCCTAGCTAGCCAGGCACAACATTTCAGGAATGAGGGAATGGGTGAAGAGGTACATCAGGATGCTTCTCTGTAAAAATGTTGTCCGTTGGAGAGAGCGGAGGCTGCTTGGTGCGGCCCGGAGGCTCGTACGGAAGTTTCCATAAACCTGCAGGCGACACTAGTTGCTTTTACTTCCTCCTACTCCGATGAAAGCTGAGTCTCGTTAAAGAATGCCCTTCTAAATTTTCACGACTTATTTTGTAGAATAGGCTGAATTCATGTTACTCGCACAAGCACTAAGACGGAAACCGCCGGTGTTCATTGAAACTAGAGCTCGCCTGGCACCATACCTTACGATGTGGTTCCCACGAGTCCCAGCGGCTGCCGTTAGTCAGCTCATTACCGGCAAATGGCCATGCAGAGCTTTGCCAATGCTCACCATATGACAAATGTCGTGCTGTCCATTGATTTTCTCATCATGGTCACATTGCCCACGCCCTGAGACGTCCTTGAAGATGGTAAGCATCTCAGACAGCTCAACCGACTTTATATTCTAATAAAAGCACAATGTAACCACATGACGCACCAGGAGAATACAAAATGCTTAGATATTTTACAACCCAGGACTAGACATGAAATGACAGTTTTATGTACATGGGGATGTACGTAAATAAAAAGCTAGTTTCTTGTGTTTACAACCACTTCTTATGAATCTAGTCCCAATATTTTGATTGGATGCATTTCCGAGAATAGTCCACGTTTAAGCGATGCTACCACAAATGGTATGAGGTTTTGAATTGATGTACCAATTTTCAAGATTACTCCCTGCAATTTATAGCCATGCCTGTTCTAATGCCTAAAACCTGCCTGATTCTAACATTAATGTACGCAACCTAGTGCAGGCTTCTTTGCGCTGCCGATTTGGAACTCAATGAGATGCGAAGGACGTCGTAAATACGTCACCGAATATGCCCACTCCACCGGTTATATCGTGCGCATGGTCCATAAAAATCGGGCCGCCGAAAAATATGTGTTTGCAGTGATTTGGCACCAAGTTATCTGAACATAAGGGGCCATTGACCAACAGTCAGATTAAGCTGTCGATTTTATGCCGCCATCACGAACAGCGTGTTATGATGAACTACACGAACATTTGAAGAACTTCTTGTTATGACGGATAAGGGACTGAGAATCGAATAACTGAAGAATAGTCCCGCAATCAAGAATGCAAATGCACGTAAAACAGCATGTCATCACGGCAAGAAAAATATACTAAAACCACGAAAAAAACTAAAACACACGTAAATGACGTTCGTTGGATAAATGTGCACGCATAAACCAACACCGCTCCGTTGTGGCCCGTAGGTGCATCACAAATGAGTCACGTCGTCCGCTACAGGAGCAATTCTGACACGGCAACTTTGACAACGAAGACTTTGACGTCATAAAAGCGTTCCATGTCGTTATGAAACGATGCCGTATTGCTGAGCATCTTAACAAAGTTGTGATATTTTGTTCTTTAGGGCAGTCTGTTGAAATTAAAACCATGCCAGCGCTGGCAAGTGAGCTTATTTATTACATTAGCTGCCTGCCTCAATATCTTCCCGAGTGGCCGAGTTCATTTCAGCACGGCTTGTTGCGTCAGAGCTGATGCGTGATCCGATAGTGGCGTCATAGCCCTATGACTCCACCATCCGATCATGCTATTCCAGTTCAATGGCAGAATCATGTGGCGAAAGTCTGACGTGCTGCAATGTTCGCCACGGCGCCCCGCCCTCTGACCCCATCTTACCATGACCGATCGTTGTCACCCGCCGCACGCTATCCCAGCCGACCCGCCCTCTGACCCCATCTTACCATGACCGGTCGTTGTCACCCGCCGCAGGCTATCCCAGCCAGCCCGCCCTCTGACCTCGTTTTACCATGACCGATCGCTGCCACCCGCCGCACGCCATACCGGCCAAGAGCAAATGCTTGGCGCCCAAGCGGTTCGAACCCACCCATTCGTCCACCGGTCAGTTAGGAGACAGACGTCCCAACTGATTAAGCTACTTTGCAAAAGTAGGCGAACTACGAAAATGGTTGGCAAAACACTATATTTCCATCTGCTATACCTTCGTACCTTCCGCAAAAAAAATCTATCAGGGCCATCCTCTGTAAGCCAAGATTGTTAGGTCTAATTTATGGATTTCTTGTTTTCTTAATCATGACTTATTTATTAGTTGTTACTCAGCGCATGCAAGTGTACAGCCAGCCCACCTGGTCAGCCGATGTGAGGGCTGCACAGCCGGTGCCTGTGGCGGCCGCCGGCGGTAACTGACGGTGACGTGTGAGGGCTGCACAGCCGGTGTCTGTGGCGGCCGGCGGCGGCAGCTGATGGTGATGTGTGAGGGCTGCACAGCCGGTGTCTGTGACGGCCGGCGGCGGCAGCTGACGGTGATGTGTGAGGGCTGCACAGCCGATGTCTGTGGCGGTCGCCGGCGGTGGCACCTGACGGTGACGTGTGAGGGCTGCACAGCCGGTGTCTGTGGCGGTCGCCGGCGGCAGCTGTCGGTGACGCTCTGGCCCCCCGGCAGAACGGGCAGCACATTGGCGACGTCCCGCTGTCGGCCTCATTCTTCGCGCCGTTCGACCTGTACCGGAGCGGCCGGCTGGACGAGCTGCTGCTGGGCCTGAGCGTGAGCCTCGCCTCGCCGGGCGACTCCGTCACCGAGCAGCTCACACGAGGTGACCACGCCTGCCGGGCGGCCGCACGCCACCGACGCCCGGCGGCCTCCGCCCGCGCTATGCCCCAGCGTGGCCCGGCGTCGCCCGGTGCACGGCACATCGTCAGAGTAGCCCGCGCATACGTAACGACGTCCCGGCAGGACATGGTGCCACCTTGTGCTCAGCGCGCCGCCCGGGTACGCGTCACACATCGAGTCCCGTCGCAGTCTGGCGCCAGCTGGTGCTCTGGTGCAACCGCTGGCCGGGCGAAAACGCCCTGAGGCTGTGTGTTGACACCAGGTGATGCCTAGCATGTCAACACTTGTTCCATAGCTTAAATTTGCGTGAGCCTGGTTCCCGCTGCGTGTTGCCCGTTACGTGCTGCCGTGTACGAGGCGCGCGATTTCTGCATCTTATTCGACACGTATTCGAGGTCAACTGCAAGGAAAGTTAGAATGAAAGGTGATTCAAGCTGACGAAGATAACGGTAAGATCCCGCATAAAGGGTCAGTGATCGATGAAAGTCCGCTTAGCTCAGTGTTTCAAGGAGTGGTGTTTCACCAAAACTTTGAACGTGCCAGCATACGAGGAACCCCTGTGTTTTTCTTAATGGTATTCACAAAACTTCGGATCGTTGCAGTTGAATCGTAGTGACGTATATGCTAATGTCTTCATGGATTTATTGACGCTCGCATTTGCGCCGAAGGACAGTGAAACCACATCGGCAAGTGTATCGTGCATATTTAATGTGGCGGCTGCACATTGAAAAGCAAATACGGAACAAGAAGAACATGCAAAACGTTCCCTTACAACTACTGGAACATACGGAGCACACAAAAAAAATATTTAAGGGTTCGACGCCAGTGGTGATAGCACCTGCAATATCAGGATCGATTGGATGGATCGATCAGGATTGGCTGTTCCCGACCTCGAGGATGGGATCGGGGCAGTTCCAAAGCGCCTCGAGGCACGTGGCGCCAGTCATGATGCTCGTTTTAAAGATGAACTCAAATGACGGTCAGAACTGGAACGGTGGGCATGTCTTCAAGTTTTTGTCATGATTGCACAAGCCTTTTCGAAATGCACTTGCCATGTGGTTTGTGTTGAAGTGAAGCATTGGTTGTTGGGAGTGGCCATTATTTTCGAACATCAGCCGAGTTTCAGGGCAAGTCTAACAACGTTTGCTTTACGGGCTATGATAGCCGAATTTCTCTAAGAAATGGAACGTAATTTCATCCATTCTAAAAAAATGACCACACCTTCTAGGCTTTGTGGCTATCACTGGCATGTAGTCACTCAATCTCGACATATCTTAATAGACTTAATGCTGACACCAAGTAATGACACTGCACAGATTATGTATATTGGGCTACTGTGTGCAGCAATATGGATGTTCCATGGTCCGCCATGCGGCATCGGTGTTTCCGTGCGTGTAAAAATGATTCATATCAAAGCGTTGCAATCGTATCGGGGTTTCATTGCTTAATAGGAGCACCAGTTGCTAATTGCGAGATAATTCGACACTTAGACGTGTGTATCAGCCAATCCACGCCACTGAGCGTGATCCATCTTCGGTGCTTTTAAGTGCATGAACCAACTTGGGGTCGACTAAGAGCGCTATCTTGCTTCCTCTCTTACATTCATTTCCCTGCCGTTCACCGTACGTGCGTGCTCGGCCGGGACCTCCTGTTTGACCGAGGGGCGGACCCTCAGCTCTGGGGCTGGACCTGGTGGCGGAGACGGTTCAGCAGGGCCGGGACCACGGCCTGGCCAGCTACGTGGAGTGGCGCGCGCTGTGCGGCCTCTCACCCGTCCGGCAGTTCCGTCAGCTCAACACCACCATGTCTCAGGACCACATCGACATGCTTCGCAAGCTGTACCGGTCAGTCAGAGCTGTTAAGCAATATGCCGACCACGCTAGTTGCTACGCTGTGTTAGCCTCGTAATCAGTCTGGCAGTTTGCTGTTTTGCGTGCGCGTGCTTTTGAATTACTGTCGCTCATCAACAATGGAGTGGCCCGCCAGTTGTAACATGTAGCCGGCTCAGAAAACACCGAATCTGTCCATCACTATCAGGGAAACCTTGCTCGCTGCTTTATGCTCGTTCCCATGCATTTTAACAGTGACTGAGCCGGTTTTCGGCGTCAGTCAGCCGCGCCGGTGGCCAAGTGCAGCGGAAGGCTGCGGGCGCCGGTGGCCGAGTGCGGCGGAGAGCCGCGGGCGCCGGTGGCCGAGTGCGGCGGAGAGCCGTGGGCGCCGGTGGCCGAGTGCGGCGGAGAGCCGCGGGCGCCGGTGGCCGAGTGCGGGGGAGGGCCACGGACGCAGGTAGCCGAATTCGGGGGAGGGCCACGGACGCAGGCAGCCGAGTGCAGCGGGGGGAGGGGAGGGGGTTTCGGGCGCAGGCGGCCAAGTGCAGCGGGGGGCCGCGGGAGCAGGTAGCCGAGTGCGGAGGAGGGCCGCGGGCGCCGGTAGCCGAGTGCGGGGGAGGGCCACGGACGCAGGTAGCCGAATTCGGGGGAGGGCCACGAACGCAGGCAGCCGAGGGCGGCGGAGGGCCGCGGGCGCCGGTAGCCGAGTGCAGCGGAGGGCCGCGGGCGCCGGCGATCGGTCTGCTGACGTCGGCCGTGTGCCCGGGCCGCAGGTCGCCGCTGGATGTGGACCTGTTTGTGGGCGGTGTGCTGGAGACGCCGCTTGAGGGCGCCGTGCTGGGGCCCACGTTCGCCTGCCTGCTCGGCCACCAGCTGCGCCTGGCGCGCCAGACGGACCGCTTCTGGTACGAGAACGACACGCCGCCGGCCGCCCTCTCCAAAGGTCAGTCACCACCGGCCGCTCCAGACCAGAGCCGCTGCGGCGGCGGCGCCACCCCCCGCTATCCTTCGAAGGCTCATAGACAATGTGCTGTACATTCTCGTCGCGCGACAAAATTCATCCACGCCAGTTCTGCCATCCAGTTCTTCCACCCAGGTCATCCATGCACTCCGTTCTACTTCGCAGCGTCGATATGGTACTGCATCGCGCTACTGGCGGTTTTACGCTACTTCGCACCTCCGCCGGCCGGAAAGGAGTAAGAAAAAAACGTTACGAAATGAAATTGACTCCCAGAACTGTGGTGCCTGAAACATTGGTTGATTTTCAGAGCAGCTGTACCAGATCCGGAAGTCTAGCATGGCGCGGCTACTCTGCAATAACATTGAAGTCGTGCATGAGGTGCCACCAAGCGTCTTCATGAAACGCGACTCGTTCCTGTGAGTTGCCTCCCTCAGCGATGCTTTGTGCAGCGCCCCCATCCCCCCCCCCCGAAGCTGCGATGAAGCAGTGGAAGTAAACATTACGTTATACTACTTGCCTGGATAAGGCACCGAAGCATACCGACGCGATTGCGCGGTATATTTTGGAAGAATCTTGATGTGTTTTCTACTTCTGAGAGCGGATACCATTGCATTTTAAGTCATCGTAGGTCAAATACTAGGTCTTATGCAGCGTATTTTTCATGTCACTGAAAAAATATCACAGGGAGAGTCGCATGTTACGGACATTGCAATGTTCACAACCGTTGGGACATCTGACGGTTGGCTGTCGCTCCGCCCGAATTTCATCCTTTCATTCGCTGACCTGTACTGACCTGATGCCAGGAACGCCCCAGTGTTGTGCGACATGCTTCCGGACGTTGACCTGCGCGCCTGGAAGTCTGCCAGCTCAGGTGTCTTTATCCCCGACCATCTGCTGCGAGACGTACTCAGCAAGGCCCAGACCGACCTCGAGCAGCGATACAGAGAACAGTTTCTCGGTGGCCTCGGTAGGTGGCAGCACAGGGATTCTTGTCTGGGGTTATCTCACAGAATATTTGTGACAGAGTGCCGGGAAACCGGATGTGACGCCGGAGTGCCGTGCGTGTCAAAAACGAAAAGAGATCGAATAAGGAAATGAAAAAGTCGAACCAAAAAGTCCATAGAAATCAGAGTCGAGCCGGAACAGTCGAAAAGCAAAAAGTCAAAAGGGATTAAAGTCAACAGGTATAACATATTTGAATGCGCTTAACCAGTGGGAGCCAGAACACCAGTGGGAGCCATGAAGCAGGACCTGGTGTTCGTAAAAGAAGCGATGGTAATTAGGAATTGTGTACCAGTTTTGGTGAAGGAGGCAGTGAGAACTACGAACCTATATTGTTACTTTCGAAGAGTCATTGGGAACCAGGAACCAGGTAGCTGCGTTTGCAAAATAACCGATATTATATACAAACAAGCGGGTAGGGTTATGAAAAACCGACCTGAATCGAGGATCAAAGATCTCGCTTTCAGAACGAAAAGAGCAAACCAGGGAACAGCATTGAAAATCAGGCATGTGTCTGTCCAGCATCACGACGGACGGAATTTGCAATGGGCGCCGCCGCTGTACGCTTCCTCCTGCCGTGGGTCCCAGTGTTGCTCGTGGCCGGTCCAGAAAATGACTAGAGCGACTTTTTATCGGCACGATGGAGCCTAGCAAGGCATCCATAGCAGACCGGCCACCTGATGCCCTAGTACGCGTTTCGTGTGGTTGGGTCGTGAGAGCTCGAAGGCTGGCCTCCCGCCTGCGACGTTTCCCTGTTGAGCGCGGGCGAGCCCAGATCATTCCCTGGCATCCCCGCATCCCACAGGATGCAGAGATGCTAGGCAGTGAAGTCCTTTGACTCCACGGGCGCATCTGAGCACCGTTGGCAACATTATTTTTCATGCAAGGTGTCAAATTATTAAAAATATCTTGTCCGAAACATCTTGATTATCAGTCTGTTTACCTTTACCACAACGGACGTTCAACTATGAAAAATTATTGTCCGTTAGGTTGTGTTCCGATCTGACTTTTCTCATCGTTGACTTTTATCTTTGACCACTTTTTCCAAGCTTGTTTTTTCTTACCGTAACCCGCGGTCATGTAAACAGGAGTACCCTAACGCAGCCCAGCAACAATAGGGTGATAAGTTAACACCCCAGAAACAGAATGGGAACAAGTCGCTGCACTTCCAGCTACGAAGCAATGAAATAAAATAAAAAGCATAAGCACAACAGTTGGCCTATTCACATATTGGATAAAACAAATCGTTAAAATGGAGTAGAAAAACCCATAGGTAAAAGCATAAAAATGACTGGTCACTCATCCGCTTGCAGCGTCAAAACATTATAAGTAAGGTTAGCGTGTTTTGGATGCATGCAGGAGTGGACAAACTCTGATTGAACTCATAATTTGTATTTTTCAAGTTATCTGCTCCTATTTGAGTTTTATTCGTGTCGTCTTGTTATGCTTTGAACTGTTTTATAATGTTCTACCACCATCTAATTTACCCTCCTTTGGCTTTTTCCGATTTGGCTTTTATTCTGTCAACTTGTCGCCCGGTTAAATTTTTTCTTCGACTTTTTCCGTTCGACTTTTTCCCCGTTTACTTTCATCTTTTGGACTTTTTCGTTCCACTCTTTCCGCTCAAATTTTCCTCCTTCGGCTTTTCCCACTGGCCCGTTTGTTGGGAAGCCGTCATTGTGAGGTGGGCGCGTGTTGCCTCAGAGTTTCCTATTGGCCTGTTTGTTGGGAAGCCGCCATTGCGAGGTGGGCGCGTGTTGCCTCAGAGTTTCTTGTTGGCCCGTTTGTTGGGAAGCCGTCATTGTGAGGTGGGCGCGTGTTGCCTCAGAGTTTCCTATTGGCCTGTTTGTTGGGAAGCCGCCATTGCGAGGTGGGCGCGTGTTGTCTCGGAGTTTCTTGTTGGCCCGTTTGTTGGGAAGCCGTCATTGTGAGGTGGGCGCGTGTTGTCTCAGAGTTTCTTGTTGGCCCGTTTGTTGGGAAGCCGTCATTGTGAGGTGGGCGCGTGTTGTCTCAGAGCTGAGTGCTGGCTCCCAGTCAGCGCTGGGCACGGCGCTGGCCTTCAGTCGGCCCAGCAAGCAGGCGCTGCTGTTGTCCAACACGTCCCGGCTCCTCGAGTACGCCTCAACCGAGCTCATCAACACCGTGTTCAGGTCAGAGGATGGGCCCTGTGTGGCTCCATGCCAGGAAAGGAAAAATACATTGTCAGAGGTAGAAGCCATCATTTCTGGGCCGGTGGTGTGCTTGGAGGACGTTACATCAGGGAGACATTTGGTCAAGGCGTTCCTCGTATTGGTGGCATATTCAGTCACGTCTGAATCGATGGTCGGTGTATTGGTGGATCGTTCAGTCGTGTTTTAACTCATTTTGGTGAGGCTTTCAGCCGAGTTGTGCCCAATATCGATGGAACATTCAGTCGAGTTGTAACTCACTTCGGTTGCATTTCTAGACGATTTGGGATTCGTCTTGATAGAACTTTTAGCCGGATTGTGGCTCACATTGGTTGGACGTTCAGCCGGGTTGTGTCTGGCCTCCGCAGGTCGGGCCCGTCCCGCATCAAACGTCAGCTGGTCAGCCTGTCTAACCAGGTGTCGGGCGGCAGCCGCACAGTGCAGGGGTTCAGCAGCTCACTGCGCCAGTTCGACATATCAAACCTGGTCTCCCAGGTCCCGATCATCGACCAGTGCCGGTGAGCTTTCTTCTGTCCGTCCTCGCATGCGGACGTGCTGCTGCGAGCACTTGTGATCGTCCCAGCTGCTGAAGGGTTAGTCTTAAAGTCCCTTTAAATGTAAACCCCGTTCAACGTATTGCACTCGACCTGGTTGATCTCGGTGTATCGTAGATCACGTGATATTATTTCCCCTCTTTGTAAACGAAGCTGAGACACCAAAAAGTCCAAAGACCTAGCCTATCGTGATATCGTGACTACTATATAGGTGAAGACTTTAGGGGGCCGGTGCGTGTTTCAGGGCTGAAGAGGAGACGTTGCCTTGCGACGCCTCCTCTCCATACCGCACCTACTCTGGGTACTGTAACAATCTGAACAACCCCAACTACGGCAAGTCCGTGATGCCACAGAGTCGCCTGCTGCCGGCAAAATACGATGACGGTAGGTGCGAGTTCACGCCCTCGGCCGTCGGCGGCACGGCGTGTGACGAATGAGTGCGGGCCGTGTGACTGTCGACCAGCGCTGCCTGATACTGAGACAGGGGGTGGGGGTGGGGAGGGGGGCGGGGGTGACGCCTGCTGACCAGCTCTGCCGTACTCTGAGGACGGGGGGGGGGGGGGGCGGGGGTGACGCCTGCTGACCAGCTCTGCCGTATACTAAGGACAGAGCTCACCAATACGCGACGCAGAGCGGCCGCTGGCCGCGTGTCGGCGGACGGCTGCACGCCAGTGACCGGCTGCCGCTGCGCCTGGCCGACTGATGGCGGCTGACGGCACGAATTGACCCGGCTGACCCGACTGAACCGGCTGACCCCGTTGACCTCGCTGCCCGGCAGGTGTCAGCCGTCCGAGAGAGCGCTCCGTCACCGGGCAGTCGCTGCCCTCGCCGCGGCGCATCTCCACCGAGCTGCACAATGACGTCAGCAGCCCACACTCGCGCTACACCATGTTCCTGATGCAGTTCGGCCAGTTCCTTGACCACGACGTCACCCTGACGCCCATCCACAAAGGTGGGACCACAACGAGCTGCCCCATGCCGCAAAGTCGCCCTTCGCCGCCTGGGCAGCACAGCTCCCCAGCAGGGCGTCGCCAAGTGGATGGGACAGTGGATACCATTCTCGGCACTGGGCTTTGCGTTTCCCCTGTGGCACCAGCAGCTACTTCGTTCGTTCCATTGTTTGGCCTCCCAAATCAACGGCCTTGTAGATCCCTGAGCACCGGTTTGGCCACCCCCGGGGATTGGCCCAGCTTTCTAGCGTGAGATCTTGGCGACGCCCCTAACCTGTTTGCTGGGACAAGGAAAAGGAATTAGTTATGCAGTGATGGGTCGCTGGACAAAGAAGCACTTTAAAGGGCTGCAATGTACGATGCTATCCACGATACCCGATTGGTGAAAACAGCGTGTTAGTGATTAAATGCATTAAAGCTGAATAAGCCGGTTGTCCTTAAGTACGCAAAACAAATGAGCTAGGTAACGGTTTTCTTTACACGCACTTGAACAGTCCGCTGTTGGCTGTTGGCTGTTGTGTGACCCAGCGTCTGGCGGCTCGATCCTGAACAGTCGGGACTGTGACTGCTGGTTTTTGTGCGACCCAGCGTCTGGCGGCTCGATCCTGGACTGTCGGGACTGTGACCGTTGGCTTTTGTGTAACCCAGCGTCTGGCGGCTCGATCCTGAACTGTCGGGACTGTGACTCGGCCAATCGGGTGCACCCCGAGTGCTGGCCGATCGAGGTGCCGCGCAACGACCCCTACTTCCCGCCGGTCAACGTCAGCAGCGGCCGGCCATTCTGCATCGCGTTCACCCGCTCGCTGCCCGGACAACAGACTCTCGGTCAGTACGAGCTAGCGCCGGACAGCATACTCCACCACACAGTGGGCGACGTGCGGTATTACAGTAGAGTTAATGTTGGGTTCCATGCTAAGTGTCGGGTCTCTCTCTCTCTCTCTCTCTCTCTCTCTCTCTCTCTCTCTCTCTCTCTCTCTCTCTCTCTCTCTCTCTCTCTCTCTCTCTCTCTCTCTCTCTCTCGCTCGATCGCTCGTCTCCTGGCCTACGACTCAGGATAAACCAGACGGAGCAGGCCGGGCGTATCACCGCAAGCACAGATGTGACTTCAGTTGCCTTCCGTATATCATCAATAACGAGTTCAGTTGTCACTGAACGGTTGATGCAAGTTCTGTGGAGCTTCTGTGTTGCGATGCCGTTTGAGCGAGCAGGCGGGCCCACGACTGGAACGTGTAACGGGCCGTCCCACGTGATCTGATGCTCTGTGGACAGGACCGCGAGAGCAGATCACGCAGAACACGGCCTTCATGGACGCGTCGCACATCTACGGCCAACACCAGTGCGAGGCACGCACGCTGCGCGCTTTCGAAGGCGGCCGGCTGAAGACGACGCCGCGCGGCCGCAGCAAGGGCCTGCTGCCGACCACGCGCGACAACAGGGAGTGTCGCGCGCCCTCCGGGTCCTGCTTCGCCGCGGGTACGGCCGCCTCTCCCTTTTTCCTGGCACTGTCTCCCAGAGATCCGCTCTCTCAGTGGAGTTTGTAGTCATTACTGTCATAGCATTTGGTCTACGCGAGACTTATTTTTGTTCAAGCAAAACAGCTTTGGAACGCAGGTCAACTTGTGTTCTTATTTAACATAATCAGAACGTCTTGATCCAGAGGCTGTTTGGGATCAGAGCCCATTCTAAGCCCATTTGTTGTGCGCGCCCTGGCTCCACCACCCAACCGTAAAATAACAGGCTAACGGCAGAATTTGGTGGCGAAAGTCTGACGTGCCGCTATGCTCGGCACGGTCTGTCCTGGCCTCTTGAGTCTCCTGACCTTTATATCGGCCGCTGCCGCCGGCCTCGGGCCACCTGAGTTTAGGGCAAATCGTGAGCGTCCCAAGCGACCGTAACTCACGCCGCCGTGTGTGGGTGAACCCCAGCCTGGCGCTCTAACCAGCTGACCTGTCAAGATTGGCATGCCTGTTGTACAGAGCTATCGGTGCGGCTGGACTGAGCTAAGAGCCGAGCTAACTTGGGGCCTGCTGGAAGGCGCCGCTGCGGTGCGGTGCGGGAGCCGGGCCCTCCGTAGGCGCTGAGGGCCTCATGCGGCCGTTGGGGCCTCCCGTTGCCGTCGGGTAGCTGACGGCGCGCCGTCCCGGCAGGTGACAACCGCGCCTCGGAGCAGCCCGGCCTGGCCACCTTGCACATCATGTGGGTCCGCGAGCACAACCGCGTGGTGCGCCGACTGGCCGACATCAACCCGCACTGGGACGACGAGAAGCTGTACCAGGTGTGTCCACAGAGACCCGATAACAGGCTGCGTGGCCGGCGCGCTGGTCAGACTGGCCGCGCCGACCGGCCTCCGGTCCAGACACTAGTCAGACTGGCCGCACTGACTGGCCTCTGGTCCAGACACTGGTCAGACTGGCCGCGCCGACCGGCCTCTGGTCCAGACACTGGTCAGACTGGCCGCACTGACCGGCCTCTGGTCCAGACACTAGTCAGGCTGGCCGCACTGACTGGCCTCTGGTCCAGACACTGGTCAGACTGGCCGCACTGACCGGCCTCTGGTCCAGACACTAGTCGGACTGGCCGCACTGACCGGCCTCTGGTCCAGACACTGGTGATGACACTGATCAGGCTCCGGTCCAGACACTGTTACGATTCGGGTCTATTTCGGACCACAGTCATGCGTGATACCTATACCAATGACTTACCGTGAACCGTGACCAGCCTCGGCCTTGTGACGGTCGGCCGTCACCATTGAGAGCCTTGTGACTGTCGGCCGTCAGCATTGGGGGCCTTGTGACGGTCAGCCGTCACCAGCCTGGGCTTTGTGACGGTCGGCCTCACCAGTGTGGGCCCTGTGACGGTCGGCCGTCACCAGTATGGGCTTTGTGACGGTCGACCGTGACTAGTCTGGGCTTTGTGACGGTCGGCCGTCACCGTCGTGGGCCCTGTGACGGTGGGCCGTCAGCAGTGGGACTGTGCTGGCGGTCGCGAGCGGTGGCGCGGTTCCGTGACACTCATCCCTGGCCCGCCCCAGGTGGGCAGACGCATTGTCACCGCGGTCTGGGAACACATCAGCTACAACGAGTTCCTGCCCCGCATTCTGGGTTGGAACGCCATGCAGCTCTACGACCTCAGGGTCGGCACGGAGGGCTTCTTCAAAGGTCAGTCGAGGGTCAGCGATCCTGTGGTCCATAACATCAAGTGGTTGGTAGGTCACTGTTGTCAACATACGAACCTATTATTCGTGCGCTTGAATGATGAACACGGGCGAAATCGGATGAACATGGTCGGATTGTGTCATTGCTGCGGGTCTAGTATGCATGACACTCTTAACAACCGAGAGGTTTCAATCCAGTTACACAGCTGGACGCATGCTATCAATAAAGATGCGTTATTACGTCACGCTTATGTACGGCGAGTCTATCTGTCGCGGTTACGATTGCGACGAGCGAAGCGACAGGTGCCGTCAGTGTGTGCCTGGAGCCGCTCGGGCAGGATTGGCGTCAGTTCTGCCGCCGAGCCGAAGCCCGCGCCGTTGTGTGGCTGTGACCGGAGACGGCTGGCAGACCGGCTGACCTCGCCCACCCATGCGCCAGGCTACGACAGCACGTGCAGCGCCGCCGTGCTCAACGAGTTCTCGACGGCAGCATTCCGCTTCGGCCATTCGCTGATCCGGCCCCAGCTGCGTCGCATGGACGTCAACTTCGGCGAGAAGAACCCTCACATTCAGCTGCGCGGCAGCTTCTTCAACTCGGACATGCTGTTCGATGTAAGGCGATGCGAGCCGCGGACAACTGCGAGCGTAAGGGGAGGCTCCCCGGCCGCTGCAGTAGGCTCTGGGCGCGGTTGATTTGTGTAATGCTTCGTGAGCTTCACATCCTGCCAGTGCTTAACTTTGTCTCTCATGCTATATTTTTTCCATCGAAAATTAATGTGGTCGGTTCATATCGGTGACATGCGGGGTCTACAGCAATTACGGACAGTTGGGGTACATAATAGGGTCGTTAAATATTTAAGTTCATGTTTAGACATTAAAGTACTTGTGTTTAGTTGATAGACTCATTGAGTTTACATAGTGAATACGCACCTTCATTGGCATGTCTAGCTTCCTAGTATGTTGGTACAGACGGAAGGGTCTCGCTTTTTCAGTCCAAAAGTACGCGTCCTGACCTGGTGTCTCTCGCCTTGTGCCGCGACAGGCTCAGATGGTGGACGACCTTTTACGAGGCCTGGTCAGTACGCCCATGGAGAGCGTCGACAACTACATCACCGGAGAGGTCACCAAGCATCTGTTCGAGGAGGATGGTCGTCCCTTCTCCGGCCTGGACCTGGTCTCGCTCAACATTCAGAGATGTGCGTAGACTAGAAGGGGGCTCGTTATCCGGAGAGATGGCTGAACATCTCGTGGCTGATCAGTCTTCAGCGCTCTGGCAGCTGAGCACTAGGACAGCGCAGGCGGGACCGGGTTTCTGATGCCAGGGCCCGGCACTCGGAATCCGTCAAGGCTACTGAAAAATCTCGTGCAGACGTCCGACGCATTTAATGCCGACAAATATACCCAGCACGTTCACGAGATATTTACTACCGAGGTTATACTGCAATATCTGTGGGACCAATGCGTCGTTTGGTGACGCAACAATGCACCAGCATGGTACACTAGGACGTGCCGATGGATCCCAGCACTGTGATTGTACCGGTTACTGTGACACGGATATGTCACAGCGTATGTCGAAATACCATGCCCAGCTATCACATTTCATGGGATGACGCTCCCATGAAATTGTGGACCTGGTTTGCAAGTTCAGACTTCAAAAATGGGCTCAGATTTGTCCTTACATTAGCAGGATTTTCACTGACCCGTTTCACTTATAGACCAATGGAGTACGACATGACGGGGCATGTTTCCGCTAGGTCCCACCAGAGGGATATTGTCCCTCATGTCTGACCGGCTTCTACCCACGCCTGCAGCCCGGGACCACGGTCTGCAGCCGTATAACGAGTACCGAGCCATCTGTAACTTGAAGAAGGCCTCCAGCTTCGACGACCTGTCGCGAGAGGTGCCCGGCAGACTGATCGAGAAGATGAAACAGGTCCGTACGTGGCGACTCCCAGCCAGGGGGCCGTAACGTATGTGCAGCCTCCACGCATGCACGCGCCTCCAACTGCCCGGTGTCGTGATGTAATTGGAGTTTAGAGGTGTGTTTGAGCGCGACACAGCCGTGGTGCGCGGAAGTAAAGATCAGGGATGTCCTTTGTTTAGAGGTGTAGATTCTTAGCATGAGTTGGGGAGGGCTGAGCGATGAACGATGGCTCAACCCATCCAAAAGCAAGCAAGGTACAAAATACGGCTGGAGCCCAAGTTGGAGCATGGGTAGCGCTGAAGTCTTCCCATCCTGATACAAAGCTACTCTTCTGTCTGTATTAATCATTGATTGCTGGACAGGACGGTATGCTGTTCTGTGCGCTATTTACCGTAACAATTTATGTAGGGACACTCCATTTGCGAACCGAGGTCAGCGGGACCATGGCGGTCACACACCGATTCTCTCGTGGCCTCGTGAAACCATTCATCGCCGTTCAACGTCCCCCCAACCGACCATCGGCTGTCCCCAGGGGGGAGGGGGGGGGGGGCTGACGCGGCCAGACCTGCGGTGCCCCGCCGCTCAGCGGCGTGCCGTTCTCCTGGCGCCGCACCCGCCGAGGGCGAAGGCGATATTGGTGCGTTAGGGCAGGCTGCACTGGGCCAGCTGTGCGGCGCTCATCGGTGGTAATATGGCAGAGGACGCCGCGGTGCGAGTCGTAGAAGTGGGCTGGCCGCGGCCGCCCGTGCTAGGGCCATCGCCACGGGCCGGCGCTACATTGCCCTCAGACGAACTGTGACGGGCCCAGTGCTGGGGGCCCTCGCCGGGCAACTGCACCGATCTGCACCACCTCGCGCTGTTTCAGAGGTGTGGCTTTGTAACGTATGGGCTATGATTACCCTCCGTTTTGGTTTACATGTCTCCCGACTGGTGACCTTTGGAAAGTACTGACACTGGTCGGTCCATATTCAAACGACAACTTGTCTTGCCTTGAATTTAGTGCCGTTGTTCCTTTACGGTGTTGTCTTCGTGCTCGCTCCGCAATGCGACTTCACCCTTGGCAAGTTGGCCTGCGGCCAGCCCTACTGACCTGGCTGTTGACCTGGCAGGTGTACGCCAGCGTGGACGACATTGACCTGTTCACGGGAGGCCTGAGTGAGACACCGCTACAGGGCGGCCTGGTCGGCCCCACCTTCGGCTGCATCATCGGGCTGCAGTTCCGCTTCCTCAAGAAGTGTGACCGCTTCTGGTGAGGCTGGCAGACGGACGTCATGACATACATCCACATGGCTCCCCTCTGATGAGGCAACAGGCTGCCTCGGCTCTGATAAAAGACTAGGAACTAAGAGAAGTGTCCGAGGTGCGTCCATCGGGAGCGTTAGAACATTCCCCTCGCTGTGACCTAGGTGGAGCAATGTGGATGTAGAAAATCGTGGTTTCCGCAGTGTTCAGTGTTCTTTGAGGTCCCAAGAACTTATCGCAGCCGCGAGAATTCCACACGCGTTACACGCCAGGGCGTAGTAACCTTTTTAGTGTGGGGAGGAGGCTTCATCCCCATCAAATTCGATAACAAATGGGAGAAATCCGGAGATAACCCCGTTTGTTGGTGTATTTTAGAGATAGGCTATGCCATTTTCCACCGCTCAGTCCCCCAACCCATTTTGCAAAACAATGCCCCTGCCGGGGATGCATAAACTGACAGTACGAAATACTGTGACTTGATTGTTTGCTGTCTTCTATCATTTCAGATCATGTGACTAATGCTCAGCAAAAGCGGCAACACTTGCAGCAAGGAGATTCCTCTGCACCTTAAAATCTCGCCCACTCTGGCATAGCCATGCATACGGACCTGATAACAGTGGGCAGCCTGGCGGTGCAGTGCACGACAGTCCGAGCTTGCGCGTGGTACGGGTGCTGGTGACCTCCCGGCGCGGCGCCCAGTCATTCGCGGTCCCTGTGTGGTGGGATGTCGGCGCTACAGGTGCCCATGACCTCTCGTTGCCGCGCCCGACTGCACCAGGTGCCTGCTGGGCAGCGTCTGCCGCGCCGACAAGGTCGGTTTGTCGCCGGCAGGTATGAGACTGAGGACACGGCCGTCCGCTTCACTGAGCAGCAGCTGACCGAGATTCGTAAGGTCACCATCAGCCGGGTCATGTGCCAGAACTGTGACCAGGTGGACACCGTGCAGAGGGCGCTGTTCGACATGCCGCACGACTTCCTGTGAGTGGCCTCGTGGGGAGCGCGATGCGGCGTCACCTCTGGTGACATTCCTGTGAATGGCCTCGTGGGGAGCGCGATGCGGCGTCACCTCCTGTGACCCTCCTGTGAGTGGCCTCGTGGGGAGCGCGATGCGGCGTCACCTCCTGTGACCTTCCTGTGAGTGGCCCCGTGGGGAGCGCGACACGGCGTCACCTCCTGTGACCTTCCTGTGAGTGGCCTCGTGGGGAGCGCGGCGCGGCGCCACCTCCTGTGACCTTCCTGTGAGTGGCCTCGTGAGGAGCGCGGCGCGGCGTCACCTCCTGTGACCTTCCTGTGAGTGGTCCCGTGGGGAGCTCGGTGCGGCGTCACCTCTGGAGACCTTCCTGTGAGTGGCCCCGTGAGAGCGCGGTGCGGCGTCACCTCTGTAGACCTTCTTAGAGACGCCGGACAGTAACGCAGTACTGGTGCCTGACGGACGTCTTAGCCAGGGCTGGCGATTGCTTACAGAATCACATCTTGTAGTTGGAAACTGGCACACGGCTTAAAACGCCTCGAAACTTTTGAAGTGGCCCACCGAAGCTTGAAGGCTACTCCAAAATGCGAAATCAAAGTTCTCGATAAAATGCTTGTGCTTGGCAAATGTGCAGGAATGTCACAAAAGCGTGAATTTTCGCATGAATCTTCGTTGACGTTGCGCATAATGGCTTTTCCAGGACGACTCCGAAAAATCACTCGCCTTTTCTTTTCTTATGCGAGATATTCATGCAAGAAAACAAAAAATAGGTGCATCTACAGATAAACAAGTAAATGCTGTTTTGTTTCACCCCAATCTCGCTCTCGTGCCATCATGCACACGCACATGACGGACGTAAAAACGTTAGTGCAGCCCTACTTTGAGGCAAAATCCACTTGCAGAGACGCAACGGAAGGTCCGGCGACACTTGAAGACCCGAAAAGCGACGTCGCTTACCGCAATGTCGAATTCAACGCAAAAGTAAATAGTCGTGGTAAGCATGAAAAATATCTGAAAGAGAACAAGGGTGGAATGCAAAACACGGACTACCGACAGCATGCCAAAGACCTCGGCGGTCCTCCTGTGCACCCCGACAAGTGTGCTGCAGTGTTTGTGAAGGCAATAGCCCTGTTCCCACGACACATGGTGGTCCGCCTTTTACGTCAAATGCCGATTTCAGAGGTCACGGAAACGTTTTGGGAAATTAGACTGGATCTCCGAATCGGTGACCAGCGACTCTCCAATAGTACCAGCTGGCTGCGCCACCGTCTGGTGGGGACGTGTTGTACGAGCTCCTCTGCTGCGGTCCGCGTGGAGCGCGCTCAGGGACATGCGAACATAGGACCATTGTGCACCCCCACATGCCACCCCATCCTACACCGTATTCCAGAATGTGGGAGTGAGATGGAAGCCGCTTGTTACTGAGCAGCGATATGGAGGAAATATATCTTGGGGGGGGGGGGGGTAGGACTTCTGCGCGTCGTTCGTATGTCATAAACATATCTAACACAAGGCAGTAAGGACGCGAATACGTGCTCGACGTGTTGCCTTTGTGCCCCGGCGGGTAGACAGATGCATATTCGTACACTCCATCATCGTTTGGATGCATATGCGTGCCAGTGCAACCTCAAGGCTTGACTAGGTGTCTGAGCTCCCAGGATGCGCTGAGCGCCGCGTTCACCGCACCAGAGACCAAGGAACAAAGACCAGAGACCAGGGACAAGAGACAAGAGGCAAGAGACCAGAGAGCAGAGATCAGAGACCAGAGACCAGAGACCAGAGACCAGAGACCAGAGACCAGAGAACAGAGACTAGAGACCAGAGACCAGAGACCGTAGATCAGAGTCCAGAGACCAGAGACCAGGGACCAGAGACCAGAGAACAGAGAACAGAGACCAGAGACCAGAGATCAGAGACCAGAGACCAGAGACCAGGGACCAAAGACCAGAGAACAGAGACCAGAGACCAGAGACCAGAGATCAAAGACCAGAGACCAGGGACCAGAGATCAGAGACCAGAGATCAGAGATCAGAGATCAGAGACCAGAGATCAGAGACCAGTAACCAGAAACCAGAGACCAGAGACCAGAGACCAGAGACCAGAGACCAGAGACCAGAGGCCGTACCCCGACACCACGTCGTACTTTGAGCTCCGGACCTGCTGACCGGGCTGGATGTTTCGCCAGGAACCCTCGGATCGCATGCCGCACAATGGCCGACATCAACTTTGACCTGTGGAAGGAGAGTAACAGCGGCGGGGGCCGGTGCAACGTCAACGGCGTCAACATCAGCGGCGGCTCCACCGTCAACATCAGCCCGTGCACGCGCTGCTCCTGCCTGAATGGGGTACGTTGGAGCGCTGCTCTTGCCTGGATGGCGTACGCTGGAAACAAAAATATCGCAAGGGCATGCTTCAAATCTAGACGTATCGCAGAGAAACACGCATCGCAGCATAAAAGACAGCCGTATTAGCCGTTCGTAATTGCATGTTTTGCAGCAACTCGACTGCTTTATTAAAATATGACTCGATTGCTGTCTTGCTGCGTTGTGTAATTAATGAGGCTTAAATAGTCGCGATGAATACGCCTGTATGAACACCCCGATGGTGTGCAGTAGACCTTGTGTGCTCTTTTACACTGGTTCTTTGCAAAAAATATGTGTCCATCACACCCCCATTTACATCTTGCGTGCATATATAATATTTCCGATGACATCAGCCAAAACTGCTCGTTGCCATTGGACAATATCACACTACGCGTGCGAGCCTCAAAGCGCAGACGAGCTGACGTTCTCTTTTCGTTTGCAGGACACAAGCTGCCAGAGTGTGCGCGTGACCAACTGTCAACAGCTGGCGGCCCGGTCCGGTCGGGACGCCGTGCTGGCCGACACCTCGTGCCGAGTGCAGTGCCTCGCCGAGCTGGGCGGCGGCGGCGGAGGAGGAGGAGGAGGCTCGCAGCGGCCGGCTAAAACCCTTAGTCCGCCCGTAACCTCCAGCACGTTCAGGCCGGCTCCACAGCAACAGAACTTCGTGTCACGTCCGCAGCAGAGCTTCGCACCCTCTCCGCAACAGAGCTTCGCGCCGTCTCCGCAACAGAGTTTCGGGCCGCGTCCGCAGCAGAGCTTCGGGCCGCCTCCGCAGCTGCAGGGGTTCCGGCCGGCGGCGCCGCCGTTCCGACCCCAGTTCGGCGGCCGCCGTCCGCCGAGGCCGTTCGGCGGACCGCTCCGTGCGCTGGGCGCGTTCGGTCTGCGCGGGCTTGGTCGGCTGTTCGGACTGTAGGTGACACGGGCGCAGCCGGGCAGGTGCCGGACAAACCCCGCCGGACCTGCTCTCTCTCGTGCGTGCCGCATTGCCCCTGGAGGGAGCGACTTCGCGGGGAGCCGGGCAGCAAGGCGCGGCGCGGAACCCGACGCGCATCCTGGCGAGCCGCGTCGGGAGCTTTCGTCGGAAGAGTTCGTCGTCAGCCTAGCGCCAGGAGAAGCACAGGAGTCTGCGATGTGATGGTCGTTTCAAGTTTTGCAGCGATACAGCCAACAGGAGATTCTCACCGGCGTGGTTTCACGGACGGTGAGGGGATTTCCAGAAATACTGACCCGCGGAGATTTCTGCTATGCCAGAAAGGAGCCTGGGCGAGGTAGAGGAGTCCGAAGGCAGAGAGGCAGCGCGGAAGAGAGGTGAGTATGCGGAGGGACGCCTGGTGCGCCGCCGGAAGGGGTGGACGGCGACACCGAGACCAGCGGCAAGGCTCAATGCTCACTACCTGTGATACCGCGCCCCACTGGAGGAGTGCGGCTGCGCGCGACACGCGCCCTCCCTCCGACTCGTGCGGTGCCGACAAGTGCCAGGAGCGGGAGAGTGGCTTCTGACAGCCAACACTACCCAACAACGATATTAGTTTGCGGTGTGCCAGAGACTGGCGCAGCGTTATTTGTTTGGAGAATGGCGCGTGCACCAGAGCATGAGTGCAGGACCGGCGTCGTCGCCTTGAGACCTGGTCCTTTGTAATCGGGCTGAAGTAGTCATGCAGTCGTTTTATACCAATGGCGCAGTGGAAGACAGCTTTCGAACGTCAGGGCGTGCGTGACAAATGTTAATGTAAGATGGAGCTGTCCCACTACCTGGAGTGGATGCTACATGCCAGTGATTGAACTAAAACAGCTCCAGCAAGGCATGGTGTCTAGAGCCACCTATCGAGCGTGCACGCAACTTGACGGAAGGATGCGATTCACGGTGCGCTGTTGGAATGGTGAAGATGCTTTGGCAATAGCTCTTGCAGTAGTGTTTAGAACAACGCTTAGCGATGAGTTGTTCGGTTACTTTTTCAACATGAATGTTGTGATGTGCTGTGACAGTGGCTATGACTGAGGTAGATGATAGATAACGGCGAGCTGACAACGTAGCATGAACAGCGACAACACAAAGACTGTTAAGGTTCGCTACATCTGCCCAGTTTTGAAGACTCAAGAAAGTAGTGATAACCGATTATCTACAATTTTAATGCTGGTCTGTGTTTTGGCTTACCGTGTCATGGAATATTTCTCTGATGCGGCTTATTGCATGATATCCCTCGCGGCATTGTAGGGCTGCTGGAGTGGGCAATCAGGTGTCCACATTGTCGGTGACCAGGTGGACAATGTCAGGCGGCTGCACACAGCCGGAGGCGCGTCGTGTGGGCACTGAGTGATCGTGCTTGGTGGGTGTCTGTCGGCACCCGACGCTCTGCACTTGTGGGACAAACCAGACGCCGGCGGGTGTAGGGCAATGTGATCGCTTGTAAAAGTAATAAAGGTTGCAGCGAAATGAACCCACGAATGAGGGAACTGTAATGACCTCATGCGATCGCTTATGGCCTACCCAATAACACTAAATTGTTGAAAATCAGCGGCAAGTTCGGTTTCCGCATAGTTTGATTAATGTTATGAGCCGTAAATTGGTAAGTGCATTCGCAAGAGCATTTTTCACGTAAATAAGATAGAGCGTACTGGTCTCAGTCCTCGGTGAAAAACCAGGAGCATAGAGATATAGAAGTGTTGATATTTCAGCAACAGACGAGATATATGTATATATAAACATAAGCATATATATATATATATACATATATATATATATATATATTATATATATATATATATATATATATATATATATTTACACATATATACACATATATACATATATACATACATATACACACACATATACACACACACATGTACAGATATCTTGCAATGCATGAAATCCACGGGCTCATTCGATACCAGACTAGCTTTGTTTCAATTGCGATTCGTTGTGAATGGTTTTGATATCGGGCGACATTGGCCAGGGCGGACACGCAGAGGCAGAAGTAGGCTCACACATATTGGGGAAGTGGAAATTAGGCAGTGTTGCGCAACAAACGTCCCTGGAGAGCTAGAACTGAACAGCGTTGAAACGTTTGCGTTGGGCAATAAGGAAAAAGGATTTTATTGTATTACTGCCATTACCAGAACGGCGATTCTGAGATCGCCCAGGAAAGTCGCCTTTGCAGAAAACTTAAACGAGCTGCGCGTTGTGGACAGGCCATATGTATAGACTGCGGACACATCTGCAGTCCCATACTCCTAGACCCCGTACACTATCGCTAGCACAAATAGTACACTGCAGGGGTGTCAATGTTTTGGAAATTGTTAGGGGGTCGAACCGAAGATCCAAGAACCTTTCTACCCTCTACCGATTTTGTTCTCACCAGATTTAGCCTGCCTTATTTTTATGAAAAGCAATATTTTTTTTAAAAATTGTGTGTGATTTATAAAAGTTTGTAATCTACGCAGCATAGGTTTATACAGGGGTGGATCCAGGGAGGCACTTAACGCAAGCGTGTCTTCGAATCGGCAAGTGAAGGCGCCACTTGGATCATCCCCATATTCCAGAGCTTTTCACTCCAACCCCACAAACCATTGCTTGTCTTTTGGCCATAGGTGTGTGAAGCTTATTGCATCGTGTGTCCGTTCAGCTGCTACGATTTGCATCTGGTGGTGAGAGCAGCCACGACTTGTTGTTGGGAGGGGAGGGAGGGTTTTATTGTGGGTAGGTGCAAGCTATATAAGAGAAGCATGCATCACTATGGTGAGGCAAAAATCCGGCTACGTTAACGAATCTAGCTGCCGGGTTAAGGGCCAAGCCATCCGGCCAGAAGTTTAAAATTACACACCATTCCTTAATTCTTATTTTGTCGTTAAAGTAGGCCACAGCGCCCCATTCTCCTGCAAAAATGACGCTATTTTATTACAGCTAAGTTTTTCTGTCATGAGCGGGTGGTGCTCGAAAAGTGTTTGCCTCAATTTGACGCCGTACCGCATTTCCAAACTCAACTTTTTGACACATCGTGAGAACTATATTGACCAATACTTGTATGGGATTTGTCCTAAAAGCAAACTGCTTTCATAAGATACCGAACAAATTGCGCTGTAAAAACGACGAGGTGAATAAGTACACTGCAACTGTGGTGTAAAAATGCGTGTGCTATTGATAGGGCTTCACATGGTCAGTTATTTTTAAGACGCACCAGGGTCGAGTAGCAGTTTAACCCCTCCCCTTTCGAACATGTTCCAAAAATAATTTCTGGGCGGTGCGGCGTAGCTGTTGGAGGGTTGATGGGTGCGCAGCTATATACGAAACTTATGCTTGCAGTGGTATGGAAACATCTGGCTACATAAGCGACGAAATTTTGGCTACGACGAAAGTTTTGGCTGCTATGCCGCGCCACACTTTGCATAGCAGTAGACAATTGAATAACGGATCATTGGATATAAAAAGTTAAATGTACATGGCCAGATTGCTGACCTATATGGCAGGTCGAAGTTGGATGACTCCAGGATGGATGATTTCAGCAGACAATGCCTGTAGCATTGTTTAAGCTGATGCGACAACGTAGTGTTAACAGGAGTACCCCGCCTTTTTACCTCTCACTCCTTGGTGAATCACACGCGTTTGATTTTATCAGTCATGCCAGTTTTCTCGAAATCCTTCTGAATAGCTCAAAATTTCTATTTGAAGTAGCTGATTCTGCGGGAGAAATATCATTTGACTCCATGTCCACTAGGAAACCGGTACATTTCACTAGCCGTACTTTCCCAACGTGTGTTCTGAAATATTTGCAACACTACTGGTTCGAAACGCTTGCTTAATTATATGCTACGAAAGCTTAAAACGCTGTTTAAGCAAAAATATTTGCGGGATAAAACTAAATTCCTACGAGTTCAACGAAACGCTGCACCTATGGATTTGATTTATCCCCTTTGGAGTTCATCACAGTGTTCCTCTTGAAGGCGCATTTTGACTTTGGGAATGAGCGCATCACATGATCCATTCGACGCACTGGTTCAAGCTTCGCCCAACGAACTTCTCCGCAACCGGCGCTCGTTGCATGCTGAGCCAGTCGCAAACGTCCTTTTGTTCGCACCAGTAGAGGAGCGCACGGTCGTTTTCATGGTGACGGTAGTTACGACTGCAGGGAAGGAGCGTAGTGCTATTACATGATGTTGACAGCGCAATTTTGACTCAAGAAATGATAATGGCTGATTCTCAATATGCAGCAAAGCAGCCAGACAATCAGTTCGCAGTCAGTTCTGGGGGGGGGGGGGGGGGGGGGGGGGCAGCCAGGCCGCAGGGAAGTTGCAACCGACAGCGGACGTGGGCAAGGCACAGGTTAGGAACATATGACAGAGTTTTTATTCTGTGGCTCGGGTTTACGGAAAAAAACAGTGTTATGGTTTATGTCACATTGTTTTTAGCAGTTAATATTTTGGAGCTTCCAAATTTGTTTCCACCGAAAATGCTGTGACAAATCTTATTTCTAGAAAAGTAGCCCGTGAATTCTGTGCGCCCAGACGCGCTAAACAGCATATAGTGCCTGAGCACCAACGCTCAGGAACTATGGGCCATTGATTCGCGTACAAAGTTCTGGCCAACCTATGTCGAGGTCGCATTTTGCCATCTGCCGCTATGCTTCCTCAATCACCCAAACGCCTACCCGCTCGTGGAATTTCGCACCCCCAGGGAAAACAGTGTTGCAATGGACGAATGATCTCGGGAAGCTAGATGGCCTTATTTACCGAATGGCATAGATGAGTCGAAAAGACAAGGTTGTGCACGAGTAAGAACCAACTGTACATCTATACTTAGCACAGCAACGTCGTTATATCATTCCAAAAATATGTTATGTCGATTAAGAGCGGACGATAACCTCGATGTCTAACCTCCTCTCCTGGTCACCGGTGACCTGCTTCCAGAAAAGTTTCTGAAGTATGTCCTGAGCCTGCCCCCCCCCTCCACTTTTCCAAATGTTCCCACGCCTATGATTTTACTTACGCTTTTTGTAGTATCCCAGCCAAAAACATAAGAAGGGGGCCAAGCCAACATTGGGAGGGGCAACTCAACATTGGGGGGGGGGGGGGCAAGGTCCTTACAAAAGAATACGAATCAGCACCCGTGGCACACGCCCTACCTGTATCGAGCACTCTGGACAGCGGCAATCATTCGCTACAAGGCGGCAACGCATGGCCGACTAGGCTGAGTCAGCCGACACCACTCGCCAGGAGCGCGTCCAAACATCCTGGACGCGCCGTCGCGCCAGAGGCTCACCGGAGCCGATCACCGGTGGCAGCGTGGCGGTCTGTGAGCCCGGACCGGCCGCTGGGGTGGCTACGGCATCATCATGGAGCGGCCGTCGCTCCGCTGCTGCCTTGTTCGCGTTCCTAGTGGCCGGGTGCTGGCCCGGTGCGGGTGCCACCCCCGCCGCCGAAGCGGGCGCCATTCCCGTCGCCGACACGGGCGCCACCCCCGCCGCCGACACGGGTGCCACCCCCGCCGCCGACACGGGCACACCACCTCCGCCGCCGACATGGGCACACCGCCCCCGCCGCCGACATGGGCGCCAGCCCCGCCGCCGACACGGACACACCACCTCCGCCGCCGACACGGGCGACAGCCCCGCTGACGAAGCGGGCGCCGCCCTCGCCGCCGAAGCGGGCGCCACCTCCGCCGCCGAAGCGGGCGTCATTCCTGTCGCTGACACGGGCACATCACCTCCGCCGCCGACACGGGCACACCACCCCCGCCGCCGACACGGGCATACCACCACGCCGCCGACACGGGCACACCACCCCCGCCGCCGACACGGGCATACCACCCCCGCCGCCGACACGGGCATACCACCCCCGCCGCCGACACAGACACGCCACCCCCGCCGCCGACACGGGCATACCACCACGCCGCCGACACGGGCACGCCACCCCCGCCGCCGACACGGGCACACCACCCTCGCCGCCGACACGGGTGGCGGCGGCGGTGGTGTGCACGGGTCCCCTGCTGCCAATACGGACGCTATCCCCGCCGCCGACATGGGCGCACCGCCCTGCCGCCAACTCGGGCGCCACCCCCGCCGCCGGCACGAGCACGCCACCCTCGCCGCCGACACGGACGTCACCCCGGTCGCCGACACGAGCGCCACCCCCGCCGCCGACACGGGCGCGCAGCACCTGAATCACGCTGCGCCCTGCCGGACCGACCTCCCGTCGGGAGACGGCGAGCCACCACTGACGCCAGTCACAAGGCGACCTTCCAGCCGGCGACCCTGCGGCGCAGCTGACCGACACCGGACCGCCGGCGCCCAAGAGCAGCGCGACGGCGGCTGGACCGTCTCTGCCGTGGCCCCGCCGGTCTCAGAGAAGCCAACGCCTGCGGCCCGCCGTTCTCACAGGAACCACCGTCGACCGCGTCCGCTGATCAAAGACATCTCGGCCAACACTGTACTTTTCTGCCACACACTTTGTATTTGTCGGGGGGGGGGGGGGGGAATATAGCGATGTGCCGCAGTCCAGGTTTTCGGGGAATTATCGCAGGAGTACAGTGTTGTACAGTACACGAGTACCGCGGCGCGCCTGTCGAGAGGCGCGCCGCCGTGCATCGCGTGAAGCACGTGATTCTGGCAATAGCAGCCTCCACCCCCACAAATGCAGGTTCGCTCCGACGCAGAGCGTCTTTCCATGTCGTGCATCCTCTGCATGTAATCGTCCGCCATCATCTTTAGCAGTATCATCATGCTGAGTGCTTACAAGGCTACCAGCCGTAGTATGTGACCAGTGGGCCATAATTGTGTCTTACGCGCGTGGCGTGTTGTTGGCTTCCAACTTGACGTCTCCATGTAAAAGGTTATTGCTTGGCTTTCCTGCGTGACAGGTGCTATCCTATTTCGTGGATTCTTTAGCATAAACTGAACTGAACTGAACGGCCACTGTCTAGTTGGAGTAATCTGAACTGAACTGAACTAAACTGTCGACACTCATCACCTTCACGGAGCTTGACGTAAGAGAGCGCCCTCTTGGTAGTTTTCGGGACAGGCCTGCCATAGGTCACCATGGGGTTCTGTGGAATTTTGTCTGACGAATGCGGAGTCGCGCCAGACAATGCGCGTGACTGGAGACAAACGCCTGGACAGCGCATACAGCACGAATGCACGCGCATGCCCAATAAAACGTTCCGTGTGCAAGCAGCAGCGCTACGCAATGTGCCCTGGCATGTTCTGGATTTCCTCAATGGCAAATGCTTGCAGGGAGAGTTTTTATGCACTAATGAAATCGTCCCTCAATGCGGTCTGTGGGCAATCATCAGCATGCACCAACGTCAACGGCAGTTTGAACTTTTCAGCAGGTGACTCTGCACGATGACTGAGGAACTGCTGCCAACGCACCCCAAGGCTGACAATCCTGCCCGCATTGCGACTGACAATCCTGAGCTGACGAGCTGACAATCAGCGCACACTGCGGCTGACAATCCTGTCCACCCTGCGGCTGACAATCCTGCCCATACTACGGCTGACAATCCTGCCCACGTTGCGGCTGACAATCCTGGGCTGACTGGAGCTGACAATCCAGCGCACACCGCGGCTGACAATCCTACACACACTGATGCTGATAGCCCCGCGCGCACCGCGTGCGACACGGTAAATGGGCACCAACGACTCCGCGACAGCGCCAGGCCAGCGCGTCTGAAAAGGCGGCGGCGCTGCAGGACCACCGAGCTGCCGGCGCCGCAGATTCACAGCCGATTCACCCCCGTCGTCGCGCACCGCGAGACACCGGTGCCGCCGCTCGAGATCCGGTGGCGGCAACTCAAAGGACGCTCGCCACGCGCCGTGCTCACCAGTGGCACCGCATCGCACTGGGGCCTCTTACGGTGCATCGCACGTCTCTGTCTACAGCACATTTGTCACACGTCGTCGGTCCAGGCGCCGGCTTCGCACGCGCGTCACTTCTTCTTATCGTCCGCCGCCTTCTCCTTGTCCAGGTGCGCGTACAGCTTGACCGCACCGCCGTCGCCGGTCAGCCGGCCCGAGAACTCGAGTCTCTTGAGAGCATTGTCGGCGTCCACGCGCTGCGCCCAGAGCGCCAGCAGACTCTGGTGGGCTGGCGGCCGGCCGGGGCGCCAGCGCTTGGCCGGCGGCGGCGAGAGTGGCGAGTCGACGGCCGGCGCGCCGCACCGGTCCAGCTCCTCCATGGCCTGGTCCAGACCCAGCCGCTCCTCGGGCACGCGGCCCTGGCTGCGGCACTCGGTCACACACTCGAGCACCGCCTGGTGGCCGTCCGAGCGGCAATGCGCGCGCACCAACGCCTCCAGCTCGGACCAGAGCGCGCGGTACTGCTCCTCGCGCTTGACGCCGCGGCCGCGCGCGCCGGCCGCAGCCGCCGGCAGCGGGTCGTGGCGCGCCTCCATCGACACCAGCTTGTACACGGTCTTCTTGCACTCGAGCACCTGCTCGGTGGAGAGGGCGTCGCGCACCAACAGGCCGGTGAGGGCGTCGAGGCCGGGGAGCGCCGCCAGACACGACTCGGACAGCGTGAGCGGCCAGACGCGCGTGTGGCGCGCCAGGCGCTCCAATGCGGCGTGCAAAGGCGCACCGCCCTCCGGCTCCGGCTCGGCCGGCGCCAGCCGATTGTCGGCGATCAGCTGGCCGAACTCAGGGATGCGGTAGTCGGTGACGCGGCCGCCGGCACCCTCGCTGATGCTGGGCGGGTCCTCCAGCACTGAGCGGCCGCTGCCGAGCGCGTGCATGAATATCTCCCCGCCGTGCGCGGCCAGCATGTGCGAGACGAACTTGCCGCCGGCCTTCCGCGGCATCTCCAGCATGACGGCGCGGCCGTTGAGCAGGAAGTTGGTCAGGCACGAGGACGGTCGACTGTTGACGTCCACCGGCGTGACGCGCGACGCGCTGGTGCACTGGTGCAGCTCAGTGCTGTTGGTGCGCGGCGTGCACCACTTGAGCGTGATGGTCTCGTACTCGCAGCCGTCGCGTCTGGTGCGCAGGTGCGCGTGCTCGGCCGGGCTGCCCTGCAGAATGGCCTCATACGCCTTGGCCGGGTGCAGCAGCTCGACGTCGTAGTTGGCCGAGCTGCCCGAGTTCTGCTCCTCCTTCATGGGGATGCCGGTGACGGTGGTGGAGGCCAGCTCGTAGTGGCTCAGCACCAGGTTCATCATCATGGGCGCCAGCTGGGTGCCGGCCTTGGCCGTGACGACAGCGCCGCTGAGGATGGCTGAGAGGGGCGCCGCCGGCCACGGCCGGACGCCGCTCTCGGCCGTGTCCGGGTGGGCCGACACCAGCACCAGGTCGCAGCTGTGCACCGTCAGGCGAGCGTCCGTGTTGTCCGCCGTTCGGTTGTGCTGCAGCAGCGCGTCAGCGAACCACTCGCGCAAGCGGCCCGCCTGAGCGTCGTCGGCCAGCTGCGTCACGACCACCACCCGGCCGCGGTTCATCGGCTTGGCGGCGGCGTCTGCGGCGCGGTCGGCGCGCTGCGCCTCCGAGCTCTCGCCGAGCGCCTGCAGCGCGGCCGCCAGGCCGGCCTGCAGCGAGTGCTGGCCGCCGGCGGAGCGCGCGCCCACCATGGCCACCGCCAGCTGCTGCATCAGCACGGCCAAGTGCTGGTCCTGCGCCAGCCACGAGTTAACCGGCGTCGCCTGAGCGGCGTTCACAATCAGTCGGATGAGCCGGCCGGCTGGATACACGTCCCAAACGATGCGACAATACTCGACGGCCGCCTCCACCGCGCACGTCCACGTTGACTTTGTGATTGGCGCCAGCGGGATTAGGCCGCCGGCGCGGCCCTTGTTCAGCGAGTCCATCTCGAACTGGTGTCCGCACGGCCCCTCCATGGCCGGTGACTTGTCCAGGATAAACACTGTCTTGTGTGACAGCGGGTAGGCCATGGTGACTCAGTCTGCTGCTCGCTGACCGCTCACCTGTACTGCAGCTCGTATCCGCAAACACACTGCCAGCAGAGCATTAACCTGTCAGCCACCACAAGTGTGATATACAATTTGGGGATGACCCTGGCTTATTCCCTAGTACTTCCCCAACTGATTCATGGAGTGTTAGATGCAAAACAGATCTGATGTGAAAGCATTGTCATTGAGCAGAGCCATGCCCAAGACCTCAACTAGCACCCTGCCTTAATGCACCTTGGCACCTCTTGCCAGCCAGACATGCCTATGCAGCAACTTTCTATAAACCTGGATCCATCCAGGAAATTCACTAGACAAAACCATCATTTGTAAAGCCTGAAACTTTTTAATGTGAACATGGATGCATGGCTGTGATGGTAAGCTTGCAACTTTAAATTTGCCAGAGGTAAATTAAAGAGCAAAAAAAAACTACAGAATAAGTGATAGGTCATAATAAAATTGTATGACTGGAGCCTTTCAAAATTGGTAGCATTCAAGAATGCATTACAATCACTCATCATCCATAATTTTTGGCCATGTTGAGCACATGCATTAGCACATTAGTTGGCATGTGATGATCAGTGGTATCACTTGTGATCTTTAACTAAGGGGGGTGGAAGTTGTGAGTTTAGAAAGGTACCGAGCCAGTCTGCAAAAAACAAAAATAGACTGCACCTGATGCACATATGGCATTCATATGGTAAACCAGATACCTGCATATGCCCCTAATCAGGATGGGTCACATTAGTATAAATATTCACATCATTTTTAGGTAAAAACACTTATTGATCATATTTCTCTGCTATTGTATTTGTAATATAATAATTGCTGAAATCATAGAATGAGTAAATTCAATAAAACTCAGATTTTTTAGATCGGCAGCCAGCAGAGGCAAGCCATGCACAAAGCTGAAAAAAAACACTGCCCTATAGCCTGCCCCAGTTGTGCCCAGACATCAAAAATCAATTATAATAAGCTTTGTTCTGAAATGGACAAAACATCCATCTGGTCCCCCTTCCATGGCAAAACATACCATTGATAGCGGTGCTTGGCTTGCTGTTTATTGAGGCTTGTAATGCTGGTCTTTGCGTAAGCCGTAAGGCTCAAAACAGTCACACCATGGAGCCTTATAAAACAGTCTACACCAGTGGTTCTTACCGACAGTACCATCTACCAAATACCTTTAACGAAACTGGAAACAAACCCATTTCATCATATCACTGCGAAAGCCCCCTTTCCGCATAGAGCTTGTCGACGTCACTCTGCATGGAAGTACAGGAAACCCACTTTGTATTTTGAGTTTGCGCACCTGCGGCAATAGGGCTGCTAACGATTGAAAATCACGTGGTACCACACGTACCAAAACCCCGCTAATGCCTAAGATCACGTGATATTGGGTCAGCTGGCGTTGCGCGGTGGAGATTCCACAGTACAAACTCTGGTTTGGTTGGTTTGTTTATATTTGGGGAGGATATTTGTGGTCGGTGTTCTGCTGTCTGCTTCTGTGTTGTGGGAGGTTTGAAGATTTGTTGGATGCCATGCGCTAGGTATGTGAGATTCTTTGAAAACCTCACCGACATTCAAGGTGTTTGCTTATTTGAAATACCTTTCAGTATTGATGTTGTTTTGAGCAGTCGTGTTTCGTAGGTACATTTGGTAGATAGATTTGCCTCCTTTCCAATCCACCGATGTATTATGATACCTACTCACCTAAGTGCAATATCCTTTCCTGATTTCTACCTGACAATTTTTATTTTAAGCTTTCAGTGTGTCACTGACCCAGTTTAATTTGAAATGTCACTGGCCAACACATTTACTAAGGCCACATGTCAACATTTTGTGCTGCAGGCTCAACAAGGCACCTATAAGGGTTTCATTTGGTTCCAACACATTGAAACAAAATATTGTGGCTTGAAAGCTATACATGCCAGAAGATGAAGCATTCAGAGTTTCATAACTTTTTACTGACAATTCACATACCCATCCCATTATGTCCTGTTGTTTAGGAAATCTGGTTGGTCAATTATTGGGCCCCTACAGGAGGGTGGTTCACTGCATGCAACAAGCCACAGTGTCTAGATTGTCCTATATGACAGCCATTATGGGAGTGTGGCCATGGAGGGCCAACCTAGTTGCTTGGAAGAGTGGGCAGTCACAGATAAGGTGCTCAGTGTCCTCCAGCATCCCTCACTTAGGGCATTTATTGTCTGGCCTGTTTCTATCATTGAGCTGATATCTAGGTCAGTGCTTCTTGCAACTCTGTGATGGTAGGCAGTGAGGGAAAGGGATCCATGCAGAATCTGATGGTTTTCCATCTGTTCTGGGTGGTATTTGTACACCATCCAGTTGGTACATTTCAAGTGGGATTTTCTCTGTGTTGCCTTTGATGCTGCTGCCACCACCAGTCTTGTACCTGTTCTTGGAGAAGCTGTTAGCAAAGGAGGTGCTCTGTGCCACAGGCATATCCACAATTTGCTGTCAATCACTGCTGTTCTGGTTTCCAGTTAGTTGGTCCACCTTGCATTCCTCCTGGCTGACTTTGAGTGTGCTTTCCAGTTCACAGCTGGGGGGAGGGGGAGAGGGGGAGGGGGCACTTGACAGGTGAAGCTTCTGCTCCTGGGAAGTATTTCAACTTGAGGTTTGCCATTAACTGGTTGGCTTGCTCCCACCAAGCTCTCCTGCCATGGAGGAGGTGTTCGGCTTGCCTTTTGGCCGTATGGTGGGATGGGATGGTCCCATTGTGGCTTCTAGCGGGATGCAAAAACCTCTCTCTTGTAGTGTTGCTCCCTGCTGTTTGGCAAGGGAGGAGACACAGATGCTGTTTGCTTCATGGAGCGCAGCTCTTCCCATGGGGCTGGCAGGGCGGTCCGTGATTACTCGCGCGCTCGCGACGGCAACTCCGTCGACAATGTCGTTGGCTGTCTGGCTGCTGAACTGTACATACGTAGGGTTCCGTGCGGTTCGTTTGACTGGATGAACTGCACATACGTTCTATGGTAAGTGGGTGAGCTATAACTCCGCATAGTACCGGCCAGGGCTTTCACCTTCTGGGGCCGTCTTGCCAACTTCGTCGTCAGCCGTTAGACGTGCGGCGAGACGAAGATAACGTGATGCGTGAGAACGTGTGAGGAAACGAGGACGCTTATCGTCTTGCCTATCAGGTCACTCACATGTACCGTGCAGTTTGCAAGGCTACGACGCGTAAAACCGCCTGGTAATTTTTAGGACAAATTAGCACAAATGACGGCCGTATAAGCATTTACGCCGTACGGCCGTACTTTGGCTCCCAAGATGTCTATTAAGTGACATCTCGGGAACCAAAGTTTACCAGCGAGGACTGAAGCTGACTTTGGCAGCTTTTCATTGCACTTGCCGCGCTGCCGTCCGCATGATTTGGCGTCATATTTCGCTATGCGCCTAGTCGTAGTCCAGTGTTATTTGACCTTATAATGACGAGCACGGCATGAAGTGGCGGACCGGTGAGGACGGGGCGCTGCCGGCAGGTGACGATGTCGGTGTACTTTGACCGGTACATAGACGACCAGCAGCGGGGCGTGCTGAAGGTGGGCCTCGAATGGCACCGCGTCGCGCCGCTGGTGGCCGTCAGCTGGTACTCCGAACAGCAGGGCGGAGGCGTCAGCCTCTACAATGACGAGGTAAGCGGGGTCGTGTCGGCGTCTCGGTGCTGCCCCGCTCGTGCGCGGCTCTGTGGGACTTCGTAGGTGGTGAAGTGGGGGGGGGAGGGGAGGGGAGGGGGATGAGTGCTGGTGTGGCCGGCGCTGACTGGTGCGGCGGCGCCGGCGCGTGTGTGGGGAAGGGGGGGAGGCAGGCCTGCCCGTTCGCCGCTGACCGCCGCCCTCCGGCGCAGGGTGATCTGGTGCCGGGCCTCTCCGTGCCGGCCTCCAGCACACAGGTCACCGCCATCGTCTGGCACCCGATCAAGAAGGTGCTTCTGCTCGGATGGGAGACTGGAGGTGAGGCTCAGGCCCTGGGACGACCCCCGATGGATTATGATGACCTCGTTGTTTTACGACACTTATGGCATGCTGTGCAACCGTCCTGGTTGCGGCAAAAGTGCCAGGGGTATAGACCAGCGACACAGAGTGGGGGTAGAGAACGTTTCTGTTATTTGGCACGATGGATGGACGTATCCGTTGTCGGTTTATTACAGACCGCCGGCGGGCGCAGGACGACCGTGCCACATGATTGTATAGAAGGAGTGGCCTCCAAAGTCCAGCCTAGCTGAAAACTGGAAGAAGGGGGGGGGGGGGGGGCATTCAGGAACCCGGGAGCTGTGTTTTGAACTGGAATTATGCCCTGTAGATGCTGACCTCACTGTGCGTCCAACAGCCTTTGTATACCATGCATTTCCCATTGAAGGCCTGTGTGCAAACCAAACCATTTGGAATGACATTCTTCAAATGAAAAAGAAGCAAGCGTCACATTAGGTCACTTTGATTAGGGAGAAATAGCCTGAAGCCGCGCCAGAAATGGTCCCACCCTGGGCCTCACGACCGTGATAATTAGACATTCGCCTGGATCTCAAGACAATATCCCAGATGAAGAAGGACTGACGACGAAGAAAAAGCTTCTGGATCCACCCCAAATCCTGTCAAATGAAAAAATCCTGGATTACAAAATTTAATTTGGCAAAATTTATAAAAAAGATTTAGAAGTTTTGAAGAACGTTTGGGCAAAGTTGGAAATGGACCCAGGGTCCGAAAAATCCGTTCATAAAACTATAAATGAACCGTGAATCCTGGATGATGCACGTGCAGGCCTCAGGAATCCATCCCAGGATCCGTGTCTGAGATCTGCAATATCACATCAGCCTATTGCCCAGCACATTTGACCAGTCCAGGAAAGCGTACTGTCACGTTACGGCGTAAGCTTGCTGGGATTCTGAAGATTTCACAATCGAATGGTGGGATAAAGACTCACGCAACAAGTACTGCAGAGCATGGTTGTGTTCAGAGTAATATGTCCAGTCGAACAGACCGAAATGTATTTTTTAAAAATCAAAGAAATGATGGATGCCAGGGACTATTGTAACATGACAGAAAATGATCTCACTTCGAAGAAATGCTTCTTCAGAATAATAAAGATCTGATAATATAATGATATTTAACATCCTAGAGGAACTTAAAACGAAATTTAACATTGATTCTGGATCCCAAAAGAACTATCAACACACTTTAAAAATGGATCCTAGATCCCAGCGACGTGGAATTCATGATTCAGTGGCCTGGCCCCGTAACCCATCTCCGGGGTGCAGGCGTATAACCGTACTGATAACAGGCTGCTTACGAACAAGTTGCGACGTTCATACATGCCACACGTCAATGGGGCCAACTTTCCGAGATGTGCCGTGTCAATGTCTGTAATAGTTGTCTCCTAATGTGACCTCTGCACCTTCGAATGTGTGTGATAGTCACTGCTAATATAATGTGTGGGCCTCACAGACAGCTATTACCAATATAATCATGTATTTACAAAAGGGTGACCTAACCGGTAGAAATGTTTGAACCTGAGTGCAGGCATTGCACCTTCACGCCCTCAACCCTCCCCGTACCTCAGCGGCCTACGGCAGTGCTCAGCTATTACGAATATAATCATGTATTTACAAAAGGATGACCTAACCGGTAGAACTGTTTGAACGTGAGTGCAGGCAGTGTACCTGCAGGCCCTCAACCCTCCCATTATTTCGGCGGCCTACGGCGGTGCTCTTGGTTTGGTGGGCGTTGATTTACCCGTGCCTCTTTTTGCAATTCTTTATCTGGCTTCGAACACTGTCCGTGAATCAGAAGCAAACACAGCATTTTGCCGCACTTCAGCTTGGCATCACTTGTGTACACTGTGTGGCGGAGTGGCGCCCCGCTGGCGGCGCGGCATTGACGGACGGTGGCACTGTGCGGCAGTGCTTCAGACCTGGAGCGAACACGACCGGGCGCTGACCGACATCCAGAGTCTGCACAAGAGCCCGGTCACCCTGGCCATGTGGAGCGCCGCCGGCGGACGGCTCATCACTGCTGACACGGTCGGTATACAGTCGCAGCAGGCGCTGTCGACGCCGGCAGTGTCGGTATACACGGTCGGTGTACACGGTCGCTGACATGGTCAGTATACAGTCGCAGCAGGCGCTGTCGACGCCGGCAGTGTCGGCATACACGGTCGGTGACACGGTCGGTATACAGTCGCAGCAGGCGCTGTCGACGCCGGCAGTGTCGGCATACACGGTCGGTGACACGGTCGGTATACAGTCGCAGCAGGCGCTGTCGACGCCGGCAGTGTCGGTATACACGGTCGGTGACACGGTCGGTATACAGTCGCAGCAGGCGCTGTCGACGCCGGCAGTGTCGGTATACACGGTCTGACACGGTCGGTATACAGTCGCAGCAGGCGCTGTCGACGCCGGCAGTGTCGGTATACACGGTCGGTGACACGGTCGGTATACAGTCGCAGCAGGCGCTGTCGGCGCCGGCAGTGTCGGTATACACGGTCGGTGACAAGGTCGGTATACAGTCGCAGCAGGCGCGGTCGACGCCGGCAGTGTCGGTATACACGGTCTGACACGGTCGGTATACAGTCGCAGCAGGCGCGGTCGACGCCGGCAGTGTCGGGCTTCGGGAACCGCTGCCGACGCGGTCAGCGCGCGGTCACCGGTGTTACCTCGGACGCGGTCAGCACGGAGGCGCTGGGCGCTGATGGCGCGGTCAGCGGACAGCCACAGAGGTCACTGCTGGTCGAATGGCCGGACAGTGACCGCTATGGTGACCTACGACCACAGAGGTCACTGCTGACGGTGGTCAGACAGTGACCGCTATGGTCACCGTACGACCACTGAGGTCAGGGACCACAGGCGAGCGGTCGGGTGAGAGTTGTTTGTTGTTTGTGTCAGCTGTTTTCTGGCCACACGATAGTCAGCCTCGCTCGCGATATGCCAGTGCGAGTCGCGGCTCTGGTCGTGGTCGGACCTAGTCTGCTGACACACACACACAGTTTACCACAGCCTATATAGGCCACTGGCGTTGCCAGGCAACCGCTGAACTCACGCGTGCCCGCTGAAGAGCGTCCCAGCGCAGTTCACGATGACAACGCAAGATGGCGTGCACAGACTAACGAGACCAAGGCTCTAGAAATAGTAGAGACCGGGAGGCGCGAGAGAGATAGAATGAGGCCGCGGAGGCGCCTACGAACCTGTTCACAACAACTCATCCAGGTTATTGCCAACATTACGGTATCGCATGTGCGCAAAATTAGCAGACATCTACAAAGCGGGTAGACGCACAAGGAACGAAAAGTGGAAGTGGCCGTTACAACGGTTTTTGTTGTATGTTTTAAAAGGTTTTGGGAGGATAATACCTACAGCTTTAATTGCTGCACTGACGGTGATGTAATGGCCGGGCTCTTGTGTGTGTCTGATATGCCCTGCACGGTGAATATTTTAGCCACGGGTGTGCGACGGTATGCTTATGTCACACCTGGGGCGTCGTGGCGCGTTTTTTTATTGGGCTAAGCCCGTGCAGTGTCTTGCAAACCGGCTCCAGCATTGGTGGTCTGGCTGTGACATCTCGCGCGTGTCAGCGCGGGTCATGACCCTCAGCCAGTGTGTGTGATGCCCATAGCGCACGTGTCAGCGCGGGTCGTGACCCTCAGCCAGCGTGTGTGATGCCCATAGCCTCTTGAAACGCAAGCATCCAACACCCCAGGTGCATTATTCCGTGTTTTCCGCTGCTCAGCTGCAGCGAAGGCTTTCTCTTTATTGACATGCATCCATCGGGACTCGTGGGTGCATATGGAGACATATACCTTCTGCTGAGGTAACTCGTACGATCGTAAACAGATAAATAACGGAAAATCTCGCGCGGAGGGAAGCCACTCCCGAACCGCACACCGTGCATGGACCACTGAGTGGCCTGAAGTGGCCGTCAAGTTGAGGGTACTCTTCACTGGCTTCTGGGGAAGCAGCCCAGGCCGTGGTTGCGCATCATTCGCCAGGTGGTCATTACAACGCTCTGGGCTTGCTGGGGTTTGCCGGAGACTCCTGTCGGCCACCACGGAACTTGGCTCGCGCTGGACTGCGGTCGGACGGTGCTCTTGTAGGACTGGATGTAGAAGTTGCAGAAAAGTCCGGTGAGCACGATCAGGTAGACGAAGGTCATGGCGCAGGCCCAAAGGGGCGAGCCGCACCGGAACCCGGGCATCTGACGACAGGCGCGCACGACCATGTGTTTACCAACAGCCGGGCGACATTCGGGGTGTTGAACGAGAGACAGTCAAGCACTCTAGCTTCCAAGGAGTATCGGCAAGACGTGGCGCAGTGCGGCGGGGGCCCCTACGTCAGAGCTTGCCGTCATATGCTGGCAGTTAGCAATGCTACAGCCCTCCCCCCCCCCCGCCCCCTGTGGTCACAGCATGACCATGTGAACCCTTGCATACCCTCCGTGTCGTCCCACGCCTCTGTATAAACTTGTCAAGCTGCGAGTCGGCAGTTATCGATAATGCACGCAAATCAAAAGCTTCTTCACGAGTGGCAGAATTAACTGAAAATGTCCGGTCATCGGTCCTGAATGCGCCGAGGGACATTGCTTTAATGCCATTTGGAAAGTAAGGAAGCCTCGTGCCGATGTCTCCTTCGTTCCTTTACATGCTGTGCTTTCCTGGGAGTGGGACACGAGATTTTGTCTCTCAGTTATGCCGTTGGCCTTGGTCAGTTTGCGTCGGTGGTTGAGTGGGTGCCAGACTGGTAAGTAGCGAGCGAGGGGACCATGAGTCGGTCCGGGCCGTATCAAATGCCGCAGCGCTTCGGCGACGAAAAGAAATCAGCCGACTCGGACTGCACTGAGATCAGTGCAGCACGTAGTATCGAACCCCGCCAACGTTTGGCTGACGTTTGGCGATGAGGGTGGTGTTACCCCGTTGTTAAGGTTCGCGTGATTAGTCGGTGTTCGTTTATCGGTCTTTAGTTGTCGGGAACTCTGATCTGAGCGCCAGTCTAGACCATAGCTCATGCGGGCAGATCTGTATAAAATAACCTGGCATCCACGGTAAACAACGAACACACTCATGAGAGACGTTCACTGTTTTCCATGAAATGTTCTCTGAGTGCAGCGTGAGTTGTACTCAGTTGCGAAAGCATGGATGCATCGTACATCACGCGACACGCGAGAATGACAACTCGTCGTTCGTAGAGCGTTATGATCGCCGTGTTAGGTTGGAGGTGTGGGTATCGTTACTGGCGGCCGGCTACCCCGTCCACCCCCATTTACGCGCAGTGGTCACGTTGCTATTAACATTCGTAGCGCAGGCTGGCGCGTGCGCGCCACTGCATGCGTCATGGATTACCTGCATCATTAAGACGTGCAGGAGCACGAGGCAGAACTGGACCATCTGCAGCTGGGTGAGGTAGCGCTTCCACCAGAGGTAGCAGCGTACGGTCGGGCCCAAAGCGGCCAGGAAGTAGTAGCCGTACATAACACAGTGCACGAAACAGTTGAGAGCGCAGCCCAGCCAGCAAGCGCCCCCTGCGGGCGCGTGTCGAGGATTCGTGTTAGATGGAATGACGAGCGTGCTGCGTTGGGACTGCAGTGGATGTTGGCCCACTTGGTGACCATTTTACGCCACAGTCACTCACGCAGACGAAGGGAACCCAAACATAATCGACAGCGTCCTTGACCCCGCTGCCTTGCGGCGATGGACCAATGAACTCGTCACTGACAGTGTAGAGCAGTCACAGTGTTGTCAGCCATCTGGGAACCCTTCCGCTCGTCGTGCCATCGGCGAGGCGGATGGTCCGCGCGGTTGCTGGCTAATGACGTCACGGCTGCCGGCTAGTGACGTCATCACTGCTGGCTAGTGACGTCACGGCTACAAGGGCAACAAACACGCTTGCTCTTCGCACCGCCGCGGCGTCGCTGGCTTTGTTCACGGGTTGGAAATACCACGGATCTTATCGTGTACCAATGATAGCTTTAACTGGGCGCGAACTTGGTGGAAGGATTTTTTTTCTTTGACTGGGTTAGGCTCACTGTGTGTTCGCAATAATCGTGCGTCGCACTGTTACGTGCCCTTGCAAGTGGGCAGCGGTTGATTTGGGGCTACGCTCTGTGCATGTATCTTGGCGGACGCCTCACCTGGCGAGAAGAGTATAGCCAGCCAGTAGCTGAAGAACATGGAGGCGTGATGGAAGACATGCAGATAAGTCAGCCTCTTGTTGTCTTTCTTCAGCACCAGGAACACTGTGTCCATGAAGTCGATCATCTTGCTGATGTGGAAGAGCCAGCAAGCTCGAGCTAGGCGGATAGAGTCGGGGTCCTCGACGACGGCCACCACTGAGCAGAACCAGCGGCTCGGCCGGCTGGCCAGGAACTCGCGCAACATGTAGGTGCTCAAGCTGACCTGGTGGAGGCGGGCGGCAGCGCGTTAGCACCCGAGCGGAGTGCTCAGGCTGACCTGGCGGTGGCGGGGCAGGCGGGAGCGCGTTATCACCCGGGCAGAGTACTCAGGCTGACCTGGCGGTGGCGGGGCAGGCGGGAGTGCGTTATCACCCGGGCGGAGTACTCAGGCTGACCTGGCGGTGGCGGGGCAGGCGGGAGCGCGTTATCACACGAGCGGAGTACTCAGGCTGACCTGGCGGCGGTGGGCGGGAGCGCGTTATCACCCGAGCGGAGTGCTCAGGCTGACCTGGCGGCGGCGACGTCCTGCCGCCGATGCCGACACCGAGCAGTTGAACTACTCGACAACGACGGGTGCGCTGCTTCAGTAGCTGTTGCCAGGCCGAGAAGGGATCGGTTGGGCCACTCTAGACGCCGTGGTGCGGCCGAGCCTGGACTGCGGCGTCACGCGCTCACCTGCACGATGTTGTAGATGGACATGGCGAGTGCGAGCGGCGGCACTGCTCGCCGCTGCATCAGCTGCGGCCCGTACCGCACCAGCAGCATGTAGGCGGCCAGCGCCGGCAGTACCACCGCCGGCGACGACTGCAGCTGCTGGCTCTTGACGCGCGGGTCCCGGCGCTCCCAGATGCCGCTGCTCACGTCCCACACGGTCTCCATGGCGACGGCGCTGCCGGCTGGCGGAGCGGCTCGGCCGAGTCACCGGCTGACCGGTGACTGGCGGCGGCGCGGCTCGGCCGAGGTCCGCGCCGGTCGCCGCCGGCGGCGCCGGTTGGGCCGGTCGCCGGCGCCGGTCGGGCCGGTCGCCGGCGCCGGTCGGGCCAGCGGCTGCCACAGGTACAGCCGCGCTGCCCGCCCCGCCGCAGGTCGGCCGGCCGGCGGGTCAGACCCCCCCCCCCCCCCACACACACACCGGTGGGCTGATGCTCGTGGGGAGGCGTGCGATGTTGATTTTACAAACGGCAGACGGGACGGCGCGGCGTGCTCTCGCCACTCGGCAGGTCTGTTCGCGTATGGAACCAACGTAACGTGTCGCCGTCCTATAGAGCGACCAACAGTGTAGCAGCGAGGTTTCCTTTAAAGATCTTATGGAAAGTCTTAGAAGGCATTACCAAAAATTGATCGTAAACAGTTAGAGTGCTTTAGATTTTTTCAAGCGTGGGATGGAGAGGGGAGGGCTTTGCCCTGTGATTGCCTGAAATTTTTAGCGAAATCCACCTTGTCTGCTTATTTTGGCTGACTGATTGATGGATTATTGTGGTTTTCGGGCACGTCGACTTCTGGCATCACTTTGCGCCTCTGCTCAGTTCGGGCTCGGAGACACGGTAGTGTAAAAACTTGCGGGTACTCACATTCCCCAATGTGGGAAACTGGTTTGGCAACCCTCTTTCCTTATCGTTTCACCCAGGCCAAGAACTAGTTGACCCTATTCTGCTGCTAGCTTGCACGCTTTCCAAACGGAGGTGGCGTTCCGGCGCGGAACCCTGCCAGCAACGATCGGCCACCTGGGGTGAAAGGAACTGGTCCGTGTTGTCGGTTCGGCAAAACACCACAGATTCCACCGCTCGCCGCTCGCGCATGCGCCGACGTCCGGCCGGAACCCAGCCCCCCCCCCCCCCCCCCAGACACGATCTGCTGTCTCTCCCCGGACAGTGTGCTGTCAGAGAGATGCTTCCAGGAGGTGGTCACATCGGGGAGGGACATCGTGGACATCAATAGCATTTGTCCGCCGCCCAGAGTCGTCACTGAATAAAGCAGTGGTTTTGCTCACTGAGAACCTCATCTCAGTCACGTATCTGGCATCACTAGTCTCCAGGCAACCCGGCTGCCGGGGGAGTGGGTAGCGTTCGGCCGCCGGTCTGGACCTCAAGCGGCGTAGGGCCTGTATCGGCGGTGACCGAAACGGCGCTCAATTCGCCCCTGACAGCGCAGTTCGCCCTGAATTCGCCCGTGACTGTAGGACGAGGCCCATGAGTGCACAGTTACGAAGGTGAGGCGGCGGATTCATATGGTTCGAGTACACCTGAAGCCTGCAAATATTCAAATTCTAAACACGAGGATTGCAAATGTGAAGATCGCAAAATGAATCCTAAAACCACTCTCAATCCTGACAGCTGTCATTTGACTCAATATCTGGATTCACATTCGCTCCTGATAAACCAAACAGCACGTACATCGGTTGGGCATCCAAATGAGTCACCCATTCATTTTTATTGTATTGCATTAGTTGGAGATTATCATGCAAGAATTGAAATGCATTCAAATTTCAAATCCCAATCTACTTACCATAAAATTCCACTCTTAAATTGCCGCGAATCATCACCTCAGAGACTGCTATCTGGCAATCCAGATGCAGAGAGGTTCTGGATCGAAACATCGAGTATCAAAGCCACCTGAAAGTGATGAAGCCATCAATCGATAACTGGGCGTTGTTGTTTCATCAACTCAGAAACAAAAGTTCATGTTGCAGCAGTGTAGCCGGCATTTTGCCCACAAAGCGGTAAAATCTGGTCATAGGGGACCTTTTCAATTAACGGACCCCACTTCGTCGTTATCGGCGCCCTGTGTGTTTTCTATTCGGAATGTTTTTTTTTGGGGGGGGGCTTGGGACCCTATTTTGATGACTTTTGGACTGTTTTTGTGCTCTAGAAGCCCTGCGGGTGCCTTAATCTGCCAAAATGTACCGGAGATGCCGGCACCCGAGGGCCACAAAAACTCCGCTGTGGAGGATATGGACGAAAGTCAGCTTCGGGGACATGACCCAAAAATCCCCGCCCTGGCTACACCACCATTACGGTGACTGTGTCAACCGTGTTCGAGCGCGAGAAAGCATCAGTGGCCCATACACTGGCAAAACAAGCCACGTCGGTACGCTGTTACGAGCGGAAGTGAGGCTGGCTGCCACTGGGACGGGCTGTACTGGACAGGGCGGGTCCATCCCTCACCGTGCCATTTCGTGTCGAGGCTGAGCCTGGCGCACCGTCTGCCGGCAGTCGGGCACCCTGGTCGGCTGGAAGGGCGACGGCCAGTGCAACGTCACCGTGGTGTTCCAGCATGACCTGAAGGACCCGCTGACCCAGCTGGTGTACCGCAGCGTGGAGGAGCACCATCAGCAGCAGCCCAGCGTCGACCTCGGGTGAGCCGGGAGCCGCCTGACTGGGCCGCCGGCTGACAGCTGACAGCGGACAGGGAAACCCCGCTCGTCTCTCCGCCGTCTGCCGTCCGACACGTGGCCCTGTGCTCGACAGGGGGCTGGCCAAGGCAGCCGTTAGCGGAGACGAGGTGGCGCTCGACATGTTCAGCTCGTGGAGACCCAAGACGTCGTCGACGCGCTTCCTGGTCGCCCGGCAGGAGAACCTCAACCTGTTCGTCGGCTCAGCATCCGGTGAGCAGCCGACCGGCGGCCCGGAGGCGGCTCGCGCTGTTCCATTCCGACCGAGAGTGAAATCTCGTGCGGCGTTGGAAATGTTGCAGCGTTTTGCATCATCCGCCATGCTGTTATTGGGCAGGCATCATTTACTACATCACGGAGTCCGGCAACTGCATGGAGGTGCTGCAGGCGGACGGCGCTATCCGCTTCCTGCTCTTCTACGAGGGCAAGGAGGAGCTGGTGGTGGTGACGGAGACGATGGTGCTGGGCGAGTTTCAGGTCGAGTACGACGGCACACTGACGGAGATCACCAAGGTGAGCCTCGCGGCAAACACGGGGAGGGGGGGGGGGCTGTAGCCGCTGGACTGGCCAGGCAGGATGCTGGAGGTGCGGACGCAATTTTGGACCGATTCGGTGTGGCCGTGCTCTGCTCGGCTGATGACATTGTGACCCGGCTGCAAAAGTGACGTGCAGTGTGAGATATTCTGCATCTGTGAATCAAGCTGAGTTAGATTCGCTTCACTCTGATGCGCTTTTTCATACGATTCTGTGTCGCATGGCCCTTGGAATCGGTGCCGTAAATGCCACTACGTCCCCGGCACCTGTAAGACGCCTTGTGTGTGTTTACCGCCGATCCTCTGCAGGTCCGGTTTGCCGGCACGTGTGTGCGCCCTCGGTTATGTGCGGGGGCCGAGCTGATGCGACGCGCGCGTCCCTCACCAGGTGAAGCTGTCGGGCCGTAACCAGGACATGCAGCTGAGCTGGGCCGGGCCCGGCGTGCTGGCCGTGGCCACCGGCGAGCCGCACATCCGGCTCTGGGACCTCGACAAGGGCGACAACTATGCCGTCCGGCTCGACGGCCACTACTTCAACGAGCAGGACGCCGTCCTCTCACTGGCCTTCTGCCCGGGCAAGGGTGAGTCGCCGGCCAGCTGCTGCCGGGCCGGCCCGCTGCCCGGGCAAGGGTGAGTCGCCGGCCGGCCGCTGCCGGGCCGACCCGCTGCCCGGGCAAGGGTGAGCCGCCGGCCGCTGCCGGGCCGACCCGCTGCCCGGGCAAGGGTGCGTCGCCGGCCGGCCGCTGCCGGGCCGGCCCGCTGCCCGGGCAAGGGTGCGTCGCCGGCCGGCCGCTGCCGAGCCGGCCCGCTACCCGGGCAAGGGTGCGTCGCCGGCCGGCCGCTGCCGGGCCGGCCCGCTGCCCGGGCAAGGGTGCGTCGCCGGCCGGCCGCTGCCGGGCCGACCCGCTGCCCGGGCAAGGGTGAGCCGCCGGCCGCTGCCGGGCCGACCCGCTGCCCGGGCAAGGGTGCGTCGCCAGCCGGCCGCTGCCGGGCCGGCCCGCTGCCTGGGCAAGGGTGCGTCGCCGGCCGGCCAGCCCGCTGCCTGGGCAAGGGTGAGCCGCCGGCCGGCCGACCTCCGAGCCTGCCCGCTGCCCGGCCGGCGACAGACAAGCTCCGGCACCTCGCCCAACTCTGGGCCGGCCACACGATTTCGTCGTGTGCTTCCAGACGAGAGGGGCTGTACTTCAGGCCGCTCCGACGGAACTGGCTTTTTTAACTTGTAGTGGTCTAGGCTCGTCTCTGTTTGAGTTGGCTAACGAAAGCATGATGAACCAATCGATGTTCAGACCGTTTTGAACCGTTTCTGGGAGATGATTCGCCATGTCTCAACTTTTTTATAAAGGCATCCGGCTTAATAATCTCAAGCAAAGTTATGGAATTTCTACCTCGTATGAATAAGAATCTGAGGGTGTTCAGTAGTTGGTCCCCGTGCTGAAGTATTCGCGATTTGTATTCCACATTGATAGCGTGCTCACGAAGCAGGCGTGCCACCTGATACAGCGATCGACACACGAGCTGAATCCTGTGTTACGCGAGACAGTGCTCATGGATGCCGTGGTCGGTGCACCAAGACATCACTGAGTGAAAATCGAGTCTAGAGCTGTAATGTGTCAATCTACTCCGCAGTGACCAGCTGGCGTGCTCACATCAGACAGTCTAACTTACCAGTAATTTGACTGTACTCGACACTGTTGAATCCTGGGAGGGTTTATTTCAAATGCATGGTCCATTCCACCCAGGTTCGTCGCACATTACAAGGGATATCCGCCCGAACCGCACAAAAAGGGATTTGTGGGATCGAAAAGGGGTCTGGATTCGTCCGATACTATGCATTTTAGGGTTCGACGGGCTGGTGCAAGCGTGAACTTCTGCGGCCAGCGCCGTTCGGGGTACGTCGGCGGCGAGTCTCCCCACGGTCTTGTCTGTCGGCGCCGCGGCGCCGGCGGGCGCGCTGCGGGTCCGACGCGGTAGGACCGACTTCATTTGGGGGTGGCTGACCCGGGCGCCGTCGTCACCGGTGCCGCCGTGTCGCGCCAGCCGGACCGATCCCAGCGCGTCCCTTTGTGCTACTGAAGCCGCTACGCATTTCCAAACAGCTCGCAAAACACCTGTGCTCTCTGACTCCGACGCCTGGGCCACAGCGGTTCTGGCTGCCGGCACCAGCATGGGCAAGGTGGCCTTCTACAAGTACTTCAAGGTGGAGAAGGACGAGGAGCACAACTGGCACGTGCAGTACGTGGCCACCGTCAGCGGGCCGGCCAAGATGTGCAGGTCCGTATAGCATCGTCACGCCGCGGTCACGTGCCACCGAGGCAGCTGTCGGCGGCCGCCGGCCGGTTACGTCCCTGCCACTGGGGCGACCGTCGGCGGCCGCCGGCCGGTCACACTCCTGCCACTGGGGCGACCGTCGGCGGCCGCCGGCCGGTCACACTCCTGCCATTGGGGCGGCTGTCAGTGGCCGCCAGCCGGTCACACTCCTGCCATTGGGGCGGCTGTCAGTGGCCGCCAGCCGGTCACACTCCTGCCATTTGGGCGGCTGTCGGTGGCCACCGGCCGGTCACGTCCCTGCCACTGGGGCGGCTGTCAGTGGCCGCCGGCCGGTCGGACAGCGCGCGCAGGTGCGTGAGTCGTCGTCGCACCGCGGCACGGGCCGCCGCTGCTCCCTCGAGCCTTGTCTGTGGGGTGGACGCCAGGTCAACCGGACTGTCACTGGACGGAAACGGTCTCTTCTTTTTGAGCTTGGTGACGTTTACGAGACTTTCGCGAACAGGACTTATTTGGCGTCGCGGCCACGCGGGTTCCCGTGCGTCTGGCTTCCGTTGACCCCATACTGCGTTGGGTTGGGGTACTACACTGCGTCGGGTGAGCGGACGGGTGGCGGGCAGGCGGGTAGCGGGGGCGGTGCGGCGCAGGGCACACTGGCGCTGCAGCTGGACTCGGCGCGTGACCAGTTGGCCGCGCTGTCCGCCCGGTGGGTGGTGTGGCAGCTGGCCTGTCCGCCCGGTGGGTGGTGTGGCAGCTGGCATGTCCGCCCGGTGGGTGGTGTGGCAGCTGGCCTGTCCGCCCGGTGGGTGGTGTGGCAGCTGGCATGTCCGCCCGGTGGGTGGTGTGGCAGCTGGCATGTCCGCCCGGTGGGTGGTGTGGCAGCTGGCCTGTCCGCCCGGTGGGTGGTGTGGCAGCTGGCCTGTCCGCCCGGTGGGTGGTGCGACAGCTGGCCATCTCGCAGCCATCGTCAGCAGGGGATGCACACTAGCTGACCCGACTCACGGCGGCTGGCCACCCTGTCCGTGTGCTGCGCTGGGCGCAAGCTCTCGACCGCTCAAGTCTGACACTGTCGTTGGCAGGTGGGGCAGCACCAAGAACCTGCTGGCCGTCAACACTGTGAAGGACGTCGTCATCCTGCGGGAGCACCAGATGTGCACCCACTTCAACGACATGGTCAGTGGCCGACGCCCCGTCCGGTCAGCGAGCGGGCGCGGCGCGGGGCACGTTCGGACGCCGCGGTTGTCACGCGCGCGTGCTGGGCCCGCAGCACCGACGGCCGAAACGGCCGGCACCAGCGTTTTTTTTTCGTTTTTTTTGTGTGCTGCTGTAAGGCATGTGAGTGTACGTGACGGCCGCATGCCGTTCTGTTGCCGTTCGGCTGATGACGCCAGACGTGACGTCACAGGTGTCGGCCGTGCAGGTGTCGCCCACTCAGCTCTCCATAGACATCTTCACCACCAAACAGCACATGGAGCTGAAGTCGGACATCCAGATCCAGGGCACGTTCGTCGCCGTTGACCAGGTGATGCGCCGCCCGACACCAGGCCGGTGTCTGTGGCTGGTAGCTCCGTGGGGCACTTTGAGGTTTGACTTTGGCCTGTCAAACGACAGCGTTGGGTGCCCCGGCCGTGCAAAGCGCCGAGTCGGAGCGTCGAAGGAAGCGGATGGCATTTGTGATGGTCACTGACACACTAAGCGTGTGGGTTAGGTAACTTCACCCAACCCTGTGCGGCCGTCTGTCGGTGGACCTCCGTCGGTACGTGTCTGTCTCAGTTGTCTGCGGCTGTCTGTCGGTGGACCTCCGTCGGTACGTGTCTGCCTCAGTTATGTGCGGCTGTCTGTCGGTGGACCTCCGTCGGTACGTGTCTGCCTCAGTTATGTGCGGCCGTCTGTCGGTGGACCTCTGTCGGTACGTGTCTGCCTCAGTCATGCGCGGCCGGTCGTCTGTCGGTGGACCTCCGTCAGTACATGTCTGCTTCAGTTATGTTCAGCCGTCTGTTGGTGGGCCTCCGTCGGCATGTGTCTGCCTCAGTGTGTTGGTCGATTTGTTTTCTGTTGTGGAAATACAATGTACAGACAGCGTCACGATCGGTCCACCCCGTTTGCGTGCCGCCTGGGTTATCGTGCCAATGTCTGCGCGTTCATCTGACCGACCTGGTGTAAGGGTAGTAATAGTGGGCTTGGCAATGTAGTGGTGCTTGGCTCCAATCAGTGAGCGCATGCATGTGTCAGCCCGACGGGTGTGGTGAGATGAGCTCTGGCCGCAGGGCGCTCAGCTGATACAGGGCTAACGGTATCGTAATCCGTCGTCCGGAAAAGTCCGCCTTCAGCGCCTGGTGTCCAGTGAAGAATTATCCGTTGTATTGGCCCTGTGGCGATGATTTGAATGTTGGGCTCAGAACTTCGACAGCTGATTTTGTTGATATCTGTGTACGTGGATTGCGGCTGCTGGTAGCCCAAAGGCGGCCGTGCCGATGTTTTTACGTCGGTGTCCGGCAGGGTTTGCTGGTGCTGGTGTGAGGTGTGGCTCGTGACACTCAGCCCCGCCGGGAGGTGGCGATCTGGAGCGGCCGCCGCGTGGTCGTGTACGTCTGTCCGGCACAGGTAGTGCCGCGCGCTGGTGTGAGGTGTGGCTCGTGACACTCAGCCCCGCCGGCAGGTGGTAATCTGGAGCGGCCGTCGCGTGGTTGTGTACGAGTTCTCGCCAGACGCCCAGCACGCTCGGGTGGTCGGTACGTGCTGCCGGCGCCGGCGCCCGTCGTCAGACGGCTGATTGGTTCGGGTGATTGTCGTGCCGTCCCGGTACCGGCTCACGGGTGGCAATTCCCAGCCATCTGCTTAGCTCTGCGTCGGAATCGCTGCCTGGCATGTGTTTGCCTTATAATTGCCTGGAATAATGTGGTTTACGAACGGCCTACATTTCTCGCTCTCGCCTTTATTATTGCAGGAAGTCCACCGACCACGGCAGGCGGTTCGCAAAGCTTTGCGTTTTGAAGTTTTGAAAATTCACTGATCTCTTAGGTCTGGTGGCAAAATGGGTTATGGCGGAGTTTGACGCTGCTCACCGTGGCGCGTGACGCGTGACACGTGCAAACGTGCCCTGTCGGGTCAGCGTGAAAAACGCCGAGTTCGCAAATTGCCAAAAATGGCTGATTGACGGTGAAGATACGATGGTTCTATCTTGCCCGCGAGGAGTCGCAGGGAAACGAAATCAGCATACTTCGACTAGGCAAAGACCGGAAAATCCGCTGACGAAAGCGCGGCTCAAAGCATGCGGCGGCGAACGCGCGCTCATCCAAAATCTGGGCTCGGCGCGTAGTGGCGTCTTCAGGATTGCTGTCAGATTTTGTCTGTCCGGGTGGGGGGCGCCATGAAGCCAACTGCACGATGTAGGCTCACGGGTCGGCTACAAACCACCCATACAGCCCAGTACTGTCCGGCCTATGGCGGCACCAGTAGGCGATCATGCTTCGAAGAGCCGTACCAACTCGCTGGTCTGCTGCCGACTACGAATTAACGGTACAGTTCTGTGTGGTGGAGCTCCCTCACCTATATGTAAATATGTATGTGTATATATATATATATATATATATATATATATGCATATATTTACACATAGGTTAGAGAGCTGATAATGTATATGTGCATATATGCGTATATATATATATATATATATATATATATATATATAATCGCATAAGCCAAACATGAAGTCAATTTAGTTCAAAAATCACATTCATCGCGAAAACATGGCCAAACAAACCAATAAAACAAAACAATAAACGTCATAGGAATCAGCAACTCTTCGTAATATCATCATGGGCTGCACTTTATCCGGCAGATATTGCACTTGTAGATATGTACAAAAACACAGCATGAAAGACCGCCCGTCTGCCCAGCTAATAAGGTTATGTGATGCGTTCCTCCCTCTTCCTCCGCGAAACATATTTACCACTGAGTATAAAGCGGCGTGCACTACGCATGCGGGCAAAAAAGTTGTGTGTAATAGCGTGCCATGATCAGGCTTACTCTGTGCAAAGCAAATATCCAGTGTATCGATATCAGTTTGGATGTTGTCTATCGTTAGATACGTAGGTGTCAACATTGGCGAGCCTGAGTGTGTGTGCAGTGCAGTGGCTTTGTTGGCGGCCTGGCTGGTGACCCGGTCTGCCGCTGTCAGGTTCGTTCGAGTCGACCTGCGAGATGGCGGCCCTCTACGAGACGAACCTCTACCTGGCCGACCAGGGAAACCTGGTCGTCACCAACTTCCAGGTGGGTTGGCTGGGACCATCTTCAGCTGCGTGATTCGCTCGGGATTCTGAGCATTGACGGGCGAAGTCTGTGGGACTGAAATGTGATGAAATGACCACAGCGTTGCACGACATTGGGGTACGGTTCCCGGATGCCTTCTTTGGTCGGCGAATCGCACAAATGTGAGTCACTGAACTTGTGAATTTGATTGCTGATTTGGCGCGTAACCAATTGATGTTTAGTCGATGATGACTGAGCCTTGATTTACGCGGCTCCTTTGCAGCATGTGCCATGATTTCCATGGCTCCCTTGTTTCTTAGCCCCATGTTGTGGTCTTAGCAGGATTGACCCAGCGAAAGCGCAGTATCGTATAAATAATATACAGCTTAATGTAGGTGCAGAGTAGTCGCAGACGATCTAGTGATTTCGCCTCCATTGTTTCTCTGAATCAAGAACCGTTATTCGATCACAAAGAAACCACAACCAGCCGTCCTTACCTCAGCCGGGATTTTCCTGTGCCCATTGTAGGGTGCCGTGAAACAGAAGATCGACTTCACCGACAAGGAGGGAGAAGCCATGTACATCGACATCAACGGCACCTCGATGGTGGTGGGCTCAGTGAACGGCGCCCTCAAGCTGTTCGACCTCTCGAGAAGGTAAGCGACGGCGCGGCTGGGAGCTAGTGTACCATCGCACCGTCACAACCGCTTCAGGTTCTCCTAGCGAACTGACTGTGCGACTGAATACTCAGAATTGTACTGACTTTGGGTTGCGGCACGAACGGCTTCAGTGTTAATACATGCGCAGGGTGGCGTCAGCTGGGGAGCAGCCGCGGCATAGATGCGCAGTCGTTGTCCAGCCTGCCTTATCGCAGACCCAGCTGTCGCGTGGCTTACAGTTGCGCTCGTTCCGCCAGCTTCCATTCGAAACGGGTTAACTTTGTTGACAAGTGTACTCCCCGCATCATTGGATCGCTGCCGTCCGCCCTTGCGCCACGATTATTTTCTTCTCGTTAGATAGAGCCGCTCTCGTTCTCTCTTCAAATGCTGCTGATGAGCTGTCGTATCGCCTGTGTCCAGAGAGCTGAGAAGTTTGGCTAACCCGAAGTTCATCTCGGAGAGTGTGCCTGACTTCGGCGAGCTGATTCAGTGCCGGGTGAACTGCAAGGGCACCAAAGTCAGCTGTTTGGTGGCTCAGGTGCGTGTGAGGCGGTCTGGCTGTCACCAGCCTGAACTCGTCAGAAGAGCATAGACACCTGGCTTCCAACATCAACCGTCATTCTGGATATCGTTGTGTATATGCTATTTCAAAACAACTGCATTGATATGGTCATTGTGACTGTCTCTGCAGGTCTCCTACGGCTCGATTTTTTGTCTTGTGGATATCCGGCCAACACACACATCTTGTTAAGGATACAAATGCTTGAAAGACTGCAGTTAGCTCGCCAGGATGTGTGAAGATTGCGTGGGCTCTAGGGCAACGAATACACGATCACTCGCGTCGCTGCTCGTCAGCTGGTCGTCAGCTGGTCGCCAGCTGTTCGTCAGCTGATCGCTAGTCCAGGCGCGCGCGCGGTCGTGCGACGACTGGGCGACGGCGCGTGCGTGTCTGACGTGCAGCGTGTGTACCGTGCCGCCGCAGTCGTCGCTGCTGCCAGACCCGAAGGTGTACATCTGGGACGTGGACACAGACGCCGTCAGCTACTTCAACTTCAGCTCGGGCCGCGAGGACGAGGACGACCAGCGCGTGCCGCCCAACTCGGCCACCAGCACCGACTCGCGCGAGCTGACTGTCATGGAGAGGTCGGTTTGTCCCCCCCCCCCCCACACACACCCTTGCATGCAGAGGCTGATGTTGTGTCCCGACTCTCATGGAAAGGTCGGTGTTGTCCCCAACTTTCATGGAGAGGTCGGTTTGTCCCCGACTCTGTCATGTAGAGGTCGGTGTTGTCCCCAATTCAGCCGCCAGCTCCGCTGTTACAGTGAGTGTATTGCCTTTGCCTTGCTCGGCGTACCAACTGGCGTCTTTCGTCACCTTAATTACGCCTGCTGGTTGGCCGGGGCTGCGGGCCGGGAGGCGGGTGACTGAAGGCGGCGTGTGCCGCGCTGGCCGAGGCAGGGCCTGACCGGCTGTGTCGGCTAGGACCAAGCTGGAGTCGTCGCGGAGTGTGGGCGGTCGGTTCGTGGTGAACCACTTCTGGGAGCCAAGCGACGCGCGGCTCTTCGTGTGCGAGGCCAAGCTGCTGCCGGACACTACCAAGCCGCCGCTGTCGTCCACGCTGCTGCTGAATAAAACGTCCAGCGCGCAGGTCCGGCTGCAGGTGAGCAAAGCCGGCCCACCGCCCCGTGCTGTCCTGTGGTCCAGGGTCCAGTGGGATGCGTATTGAAACATACAGAGCTCCTAGCATCCGATGGTCAAAACGTTCAGAATCGCAGCATCCAGTGCAGTCGGTGCAGGTGCAGTCGCTGCCAGCGGCAGTCGGTGCAGTCGCTGCCAGCGGATCCACGGCCGTCATTTAGTAACAAGAGCAGCGAATAGCCGGGTGAATATATGCGGTACGCATCTGAAACAGCTGTTTAAGGCACCAGGACAAACCAAGATCGAGAGCTCATTGATACGCTAGGCACTGTACCTATAAGCGATTGTGGGGGCCTGTTTGTGTGTTGGTAGCGTGTGGACACCGTTGAGAGGTCTGGGACGCGCTCGTAAAAAGTCCCCTTTCTTTCCAAAACATGGAAGCCCCACCTCTGTCGTTACTTCTGGCTGCGCTCCTATGTCTACACATCCGTAATGGACAAAACTCCATGGACCCAGATTGCAGGACATATGAAGAAACCTCTCCTAGTAAAAATAAGTTCTATATAATCAAGCTAAGCTATAATGCTGGATGCCTTCAAGTCCACAGACCGGCACCGGTCGTGCAGGCGTAACAGCGAAGCTAATCTCACCTGTCGCACCTTCCCCGTCGACTCGTAATGCTCTAGCATTATGACGTTAAGCGTTGCCATATCCCTTGGCAGGCGGGCTATTTTCACTTGCATTTCCAGTGAGTGAGCATGGGCCACAATCTAAATGAGGCCAGCAATTGGTGTAATTATGGGCAGCCCTAGTCCTCTGGGAATGTTCAGCCTCCATTCTTAAAAACAAAACTTCAAAACAAAACAACGCCTCTCAGCGATGCGGTCTCCATAAGCCGTGCGGCGTCAGCTCCGCGGCTAGCACCAGGCGTAGACCAATGGGTGAGCTGTATTGAGGGAGTATCTGAAAGAAGCACCTTTGAACGCTGTAGGATACCAGCCCGTGCAATTAGAAGGCAGTCCGGGTGGATATCTCGCCCGTGTGACCTTTAGTTGGATAATATGAGTGGGTTGGCAGTTGCAGCCAGACCTAGACCTGGACCTCAGACCCAGACCTGCACTGAGCCGACTGTTCAGCACTGGTGGTGCCTGAGCGACATAGAGGCCGTCGTCGTCTCGGGGGCCGTGACTGGTACTTGAGGGTCCGGCCCGCGTCCCGTTTCATGCCTCCAGCCGGCCCTTCCGGTCCCCATGTCGGATTCACGACACTCCCATTTGCCGTTTTTTCGTGGTCACCTGAATGACATTTCGGACAATAATCGGTCACTTTCGCGCCATGACGACCTGGCATCAGCGCGCGAAATACTAAACCTATGTATGAGAACACTCCCACACATCAACGAATGCCGCTCATTAGGCGCGGCCCGCGCGGTGTTGATGCTGCGATGCCGGGCACGGAGAGCAAATTTTGTTTAGCCATTCTTTAAGTCCGATGAAGTGTAGGTTTTTGGTTTCGTTCCCACTGGCCCTGATTTGTGACTAGGCTGTGACGCAGAAGCGCAGGTTGAGGGGCACAGGGGGCACGTGTCCTCTCCCCCTTTGGTTCCGAGAGGTCGAAGGGCCCCTCGGGACCTATGATTAAAGGCCCATTTTGAGAACCCGAAGGGCCCAACAGGCCAGCCGGGGGTCGCATTCAGAGGCCGCGGAGATGGTTGGCGAGCGGCTGGGGCGGACGGTGAGTGTGTTGGCCTGGCGCAGCCGTGTCATTCTAGAAAGCGTGTGTCTCTGTTGTGTGCATTTGTACGTTATTTCTGGTGAGACGATAGCCAAATAACGTTGGCGACCGCACCAGATTGACCTCGCGTATTCATGCCGCTGTTTTCGTAGCCCGCCGATCCTGTTGCTGTCCCCAGTGTGAGCGCTAACCACCCTATGCCCTTTCCGGTCCGTGTCTCCCCGCGCGAGCTGTCACCAGAGCGTGCGTATTTCCGGATTGAGCCGGTGGCCGTCGGCGTGCGCGCCCACTTTGTGAGGCGGCTGATGACGTCATCTGACGGTCGGGGCCGCCCGGTGTCGGCAGAGCGAGCTGCTCTCCGTGTCCATGTGATGACGTCATCTGACGAACGGGGCTGCCGGGTGTCGGCAGAGCGAGCTGCTCATCGTGTCCATGTGATGACGTCATCTGACGGCCGGGCGGCCCGGTGTCGGCAGAGCGAGCTGCTCACCGTGTCCATGTGATGACGTCATCTGACGGCCGGGCGGCCCGGTGTCGGCAGAGCGAGCTGCTCACCGTCTCCATGTGATGACGTCATCTGACGGCCGGGCGGCCCGGTGTCGGCAGAGCGAGCTGCTCATCGTGTCCATGTTCAGCACGTCGGAGAGCGGCGTGGTGGTGCAGGACTGGGTGCCGCTCGGCGAGCAGCACAGCCACGTGGTGGGCGTGGCCGTGCCCTACTTCTACCTGCTGCTCAAGCTCGACTCGCTCATTCTGGACGCAGACAAGGTGCGTCGGCCGTGACGGGCCAGAGGCCCGGGTGCTCGGTAGCTCAGGTGTAACGGCGCGCTCCTCCGGTCTGGAGGGATGCTGCTGGAGTCTGGCTGCGATGTGCTCCTCCGGCCTGGAGGGGTGGTGCTTGACTCTGGCTCCGCCGTGCTCCTCCGGTCTGGAGGGGTGGTGCTCGAGTCTGGCTCCGGCGTGCCCCTCCGGCCTGGAGGGATGGTGCTCAAGTCTGGCTCCGCCGTGCTCCTCCGGCCCTGAGGGGTGATGCTCGAGTCTGGCTGCCGACGAACAGCTGCATCGCCCCCGCAGAAAGAGCGAGCGGGATGCGAGAGATTTAGGCATGCCAGAGATTTCAACAGTAAATAGTCTGAGCTGTGGAATGTTGTGGGTAAGCTGTGGGATGCTGTGGGTGAGCTGTAGGGTGCTGTGGGATGCTGTGGATGAGCTGTGGGTTGCTGTGCTGATTTTTGGGTGGTACGTCGTCAAGCCCCGTGGGCAACGCAGTGTGGCCGCGCGATGTGTCAGCAACGCAGCCGTGGTCAGGCTCACTGTGCAGGAGGCACATACGGACGTACTCTGTGGCGGGGGGTGCGAAACGGGCGGAATACATGGAACTCTGGCGCGTGTTCTCTAGCGGGTGACCGTGCTGAGGTGGTCAGTTTGTCTTAGGTGACCACGCTCTGAACTGAAAGGTAAGACTTCGGTCCTGCCGTTAGCATTGGGAGGGCTGGTGACTTAACGGAGCCGCGCTGTCGTAGGCCACTGTCACTGTCACACTGTGACGTCACAGACCGTGACGCGTAACGTGCGTCCAAATTAGGACTCGTCTCGGTGGGTTATTTCTGTCTGAATGAGAGCGCCGCGTCGCTTTTTGCTTGGTTTGCTCGTTGCTTTCCTTTGTGTGCACCGTTAGACTCGCCGTAGGCTAAGCCCGTTTTTTTTTCTTTGCTCTGCTGTGTTGCATTGCTGCTGCCTGATTTCGCTGTTTTTATACGTCGGTGTTCCATGCAGCGGGCCCTCCAGTTGCCGCCAGGCTGTCGGCCGCCGGGCTTCTCCTGGCGTGTTGGGTGAGTGGCTGCAGTGGCGCCGGGCTGTGCTGCTCCGTCGCCGCCCCGTGCTGATGTCGACCCGCTGTCACTGACCGCCTTTTGTGTGCGTCTCCCTGCGCCTGTCCGGGATGTCCCCACCTGCGGTGAGTACCGACGCCTGAGTGGCGGCCGCGAGCCGCTGACGCCGGTCGTCGTGTCCCGCCGGGCATGGGCCCCTTGCTGACCGTGTCGTGTGTGCTCTGGCGTCTGTGGCCGTGTTTGCGCACGCCGGACATAGTCGGCATCGCTTCCTGGGACTCAGCGTGAGGCGTCGGCTCTGATAGCAGGCTGCGGAGGCTGATCACGCGGTCCTGGCGCTCTGATGAGTCAGAAGGGCTGCGAGAAGCATATGAAAAGACACCTCTTGCTCTCAAAGGGTTAACACATGTCAAGATGCTCAAGAAAAAAAAATTATAGGAGACTGCATGATTACGGGATAGGTTTTGTTACTGAAGCAGACCTTTCACGATGGAAATCGATCAATTAAGCACAGGTAGATACCGCACTCGAGCCTTGAAAAGTACAGGATGGTCTAAATCATTTTGAGATAATACATCGCTGGGAGTGCGTCTGAAAACGTCTTTACTTCGGTGTAGTTAAATTGAGGGAACGTTTTCACTTTGGCTGATAGAATACATCATTGATTAAGTAGCATGGTTAAGATAAATACTTGATATAAAATAATACACTTTGTCGTTAAGCAATATGGTGCAAATTACGCCTGGATATGCGTGATTTTCGTTGTGAAGAATCCCTGGCCATAAATAAGTCAGTTTTTGGTAATTATGCCGCGTAAGCTTCCCCCTGTGTTTTTTACTGTGAGCATTATGATAATACAGCAGATAGGTGATCTGTTTTGTGTTATTAGCCACTATAAGCGAGCTTAGTCCAAATATATGCGTAAAGTCATCAGGTCTTGGATCATTCCAGTAGGTTTTGAGTGCGTTTTGTCTTGAGTGCGCAGAGTACGTGAGTGCTGTTTAATCAGTGACATGTCTGCTATGCTGCTTTGTCTGCCTGAGGTATGCCAGAGCCCAGCGCTGCTGTATATAATGACTCAGAACTCAAACCTTGTAACCTGTGTGCAATGCCGCTCGCGTGGTGCGCACAGATTAGTCGTAGCTTTCCCCTGATCGCGGGCCGTTGCTGCCCTCAGGACGCCGGCTCCTCCATGTACTTGACGTCCAACCGGCCGTCCCAGATCTCCACCCACGTGATGCGCGACTTCCAAGGTCTGGAGAATGCTGACAAGCCTACCAAGCAGGCTATGATGGAGTTCTCCTACCATCTGAGCGTTGGCAACATGGACGAAGCCTTCAAGGCCATCAAAACCATCAAGAGGTGGGGAGCGTGTAACCCACTAGTGTTGACGAGGTTATGATAATTTGCATGCAGACACAATTTGCGCCGGTGGCATATCTTTAGAGAATTCTGCAGGGTGATAACGCAGTTTCTTCGGAGCTTTATGGATATGAAGTGTGAACATGTCTTATGGAGATTAAATCGTTTTAGATCATACTTGTTTAATGACAACAATATGGGCATGAAAAGGGGTTAATGTGCCGACTATGGGTGACAACTTTGTGAAATATCTTGACATGCTTGACAACCTCTTGACATCCTGTGCCAACTCTGTGAAAGATCTTGACATTCTCGCCGTACAAAAGGCATGACGAGCGAGATGTATTTAGGCGGAAGCGCAGCCTAAAGACGCCGCCCGGGAGCACCGTTAGTCCTTGATGTCCCGTCGGACTTTTTCCGTTGGTGGTGACACTGACGCCTACTAGCCAGACAGCCACGAGGCAAGTCGTGACAGCACGCAGCTACCGTGTGTATTGAGCCGGTCTCCCCGCCCGCAGTCAGCAGGTGTGGGAGAACATGGCGCGCATGTGCGTCAAGTCCAAGCGCCTGGACGTGGCCTCCGTCTGCCTGGGCAACATGGGCTTCGCCAGAGGTGTGTCTCCGGCGTTCGAGCCGGGTGTCGTTATTGGGGCGGAATCACGGCAGCGGCAGTCCTATGCTGGTGTGCTCGAGCGCCAGCGCTGTGCGGTCCCCCCTCCCGAGCCATTTATGGCTTGTTTTGTGGTTTTTCTGCATGCTCACACCGTGAAGTCGTAAGTGAATTGCTCTGACGTGCGGACCTTTACTCTGGCCGTATTTTTTACTTCACTGTGTAACTGCTATTTGTGGTTGTTTTGGGCTTTTAGGTGGCGGTAGGTCGTTCCATCGCTCTGGCAGTGCATTTTTAGGCAGAACAGTTTAGGGCACAATATCGTACGGAACGGAAGCACCATGACGTGCTTTCCGCTTTGCAGGTGCACGGATGCTGAAGATCGCCCAGAGTGAGCCAGAGCTGGACGCCCGGGTGGCCATGCTGGCCGTTGTGTTGGACATGACGGTAACGTGCAAGCCCCATTGCTTCTCACACAGATTTCATACTGCTGGGTGTTCCAATTTAAACACTATGTTTAAAAATACCGTTATATATATATATATATATATATATATATATATATATATATATACATGTATATGTGTGTGTGTGTGTGTGTGCGCGTGTGTGCGCGTGTGCGTGTGCGTGTGCGTGTGCGGGTGCGGGCGTGGGTGTGGGTGTAGGTGTAGGTGTGGGTGTGCGTGTGCGTGTGCGTGTGCGTGTGTGTGTGTGTGTGTGTGTGCGTGGGTGTGGGTGTGTGTACATGTGCGTGTCCGTGTGTATGTGTATAGCACGTGTACAAGGTTCATGATGACACACATTAGCTAGTGTCTTACAAATGGTGTGTTCAGACGCTGAACGCGGAGACCGAGGTCTGCATACCTTGTTCCCACTCCACAATGAGCGTGTGAAAAACACCATTCTAAATCTCCGGAAATTTTCAACAGTACTGCCGGATGGCGTGTGCCTATCTTATTTTTAGTATTCTTACTCGCACTTCTGAAATGGACATTTCCAGTGAAACACCTGAAGTCTTTCACTGCGCTCTGTTAGCAGTTCTTTGTCCGTTGGCCGCCTTCTGTGCCAACGCATCGATGAGTACCGCATGCAATGTTTTACGGCGGCAGGAAGTGGTCCAGTGTATGTGCAAAACCCAGCAATGTTGCGCACCAGGTGTTAGTTACCCCCCCCCCCCCCACAAAAGTGACTATTTTAAAACAGTTACTTGTATTCCTTGTGTACATTAGTGAATAATTACACGTGCCAACTGAAACCGTGGCGTAACAAATATGCTTCGTCGTGGCGTATACTGCAGTCTGTTAGTTTAGCTTGTGAGCGTTGTCAAATCGCTTATTTATTCTCTTTTTGTATGGGCTCGTCCAAACTGTGAGGCTTTGTGCGTAGTTTGTCGTGTGTGGGTATTTAGGTATGCGTATAATTATTTACTCTGGTGTGTGTCGGTGGTGTCCTTCCTTCTTGAACCTTGCACGAGAGCACGCTCCGTCCTGACTTAAAACACCTTTATATGGTCACTGAAACATGTTCCATGACTATGTAATCGCTTCGTCTCACATTTAGATGGGCTTATCAGCCTTGAATATAGGTTTACAAATATATGAATGCACAAGCAGGGCGTGTGAGTTCGTGGGGGTGGCGCCCGTGCCCTCGCACAAGGAGAGCCGGAGAGCTGAGGCGGGCGCCGTGTCCGGCAGGAGGAGGCGGCGCACCTGTACCAGCGCTGCGGCCGCTGGGACCTGCTCAACCGGCTGTACCAGGACACCGGCGAGATGGAGAAGGCCATCGAGCTGGCGCGTACCAAGGACCGCATCCACCTGCGGCACACCTTCTACCGCTGCGCCAAGACGCTCGAGGCCAGAGGTCAGTCGGTGGACGGGGCTCAGTCAGTAGACGTGGTCAGTCGAGGCATACTTTCTACCGCTGCGCCAAGACGCTCGAGGCCAGAGGTCAGTCGGTGGACGCGGCTCAGTCAGTAGACGTGGTCAGTCGATGGATGGGGTTAATCGATGGCCGAGGGTCATTCGGTGGATGCGAGTCTGTCGGTGGACGGGGGTCAGTCGGTGGACGGGGCTCAGTCAGTAGACGTGGTCAGTCGATGGATGGGGTCATTCGATGGACGGGGGGTCAGTCGGTGGATGCGGGTCTGTCGGTGGACGGGGGGTCAGTCGGTGGACGGGGGGTCAGTCGGTGGACGGGTGTCAGTTGGTGGACGGGGGGTCAGTCGGTGGGCGGCGGGTCAGTCGGTGGACGGGGGGGGTCAGTCGGTGGGCGGGGGGTCAGTCGGTGGACGGGGCTCAGCCAGTAGACGTGGTCAGTCGATGGATGGGGTCAATCGATGGCCGGGCGTCATTCGGTGGACGGGGGGTCAGTCGGTGGACGGGGAGGTGACACGGCTCGGCCTCGGCTCTCTCCTCTAATTGGACAGCAGGGGCATGCCACCAGCTATCTCCGTTGCGCTGTGTCGGCCGCCGGCATGTCTGCTGGTTGCAGCGCGTGACCGGGCTGTTTCCTCGCGCCGCCGCCAGGGGAGCTGCAGGACGCCGTGCCGTTCTACGAGCAGTCGGAGACGCACCGCTTCGAGGTGCCCCGCATGCTGTTTGACGATACGCTCGCGCTGGAGCAGTACGCCACACAGACCAAGGACAAGTAAGCCGGCCCGGTAGCCAGCTCTACACGCTGGTGGGGCGAGAATGACACCGACTGGTCTTCTCAACAATCTTCTACCGCCTACTGTCGGCAGGCGCCGTCTGTGTTTCTGTTCTGGTTTTGAGTGTATGGCGATGCTTACACATCTGCAGGCGCGTATTCGCACGCACGAGGGTATACTGCTGTATGTGTAGGGTATACGAGGGTATACTGCCGTGAACCAACTGCGGTGTTTCGGCGCCGGCGGCCGCCCGGCCGAGCCAGTGAGCCAGAGCCGACCGGAGCTGGAGGTCGCCCGGCGCTGGCCGGCTCAGGAGACCGGCCCGCTGAGATCTGTGCTGGCCGACTCTGGAGGCTGGTCCGCTGCCACCGGCGCTGGCCGACTCTGGAGGCCGGTCCGCTGCCACCGGCGCTGGCCGACTCTGGAGGCCGGTCCGCTGCCACAGGCGCTGGCCGACTCTGGAGGCCGATCCGCTGCCATAGGCGCTGGCCGACTCTGGAGGCCGGCCCGCTGTCACCGGCGCTGGCCGACTCTGGAGGCCGGTCCGCTGCCACCGGCGCTGGCCGACTCTGGAGGCCGGTCCACTGACACCGGCGCTGGCTGACTCTGGAGGCCGGCCCGCTGTCACCGGCGCTGGCCGACTCTGGAGGCCGGTCCACTGACACCGGCGCTGGCTGACTCTGGAGGCCGGTCCACTGACACCGGCGCTTGCCGACTCTGGAGGCCGGTCTGCTGACATCGGCGCTGGCCGTGCCCTGCAGGGGAGTGAAGCGCTGGTGGGCCCAATACATGGAGTCGACGGGCGACATGGACACGGCCCTCGAGTACTACCAAGCGGCCGAGGATTACCTGTCGCTGGCCAGGGTCTACTGCTACCTTAACGACCTGGACAAGGCGGCCAAGCTGGCCAACGACACCGGCGACAGGTGACGAACCACGGAGATAGAGCGCCCCCCGGCGGCCGCCCGCGTGTCGCCGGGTCTGCGTGTTGAAGTGTGCCTCCGCCCATCCAACAGCTGCCTTAACATCATGCCCTTTCGTCATTATCTGTGCATAAACAAATTTATGCCAGTATGGCATATAAGAAATTTACTACACGCAGTCCCAATGCTGTCGGGCTGAAGTATTTTCGATCTCGCGGAATGAATGGGTGTGGCGCGATCTCGTTTACGGGTCACCAGACTGCCTGGTAGTCCTTTCTTCAGCATTAAACAAGATGGTGTTGGTTTGAGCTGCACGCGTTCTGGTTCTCACAGAGATGGACCGTAAGCAAAACCAAACGGACATGCGTCGTCCGCTGTGGCCCAGGAGTCGTACGAGGCTCCGTGGCCATTGTCCCATTCCAGATATGACATGTCACCGCGGCTGGGCCAGCTGGCGGAGACGCACGTAACGGTTCTGTGGCTACGCGAGTCACTCGAAGCCTGCTCCTGCCACCCTCACCAGTGCAGAGGTCACCTCGTCACCGCGTAGTCCTACCCAGTATGGGTTCTTCACGGGGCTGTCCGCCGCTTGCCTGTGTGTTTCACGTGGCGGTGCGCTCCGTGGCTCGGTCCCATCCAGGCTCCTCACAGAGCAGTGTGGCCCGCAGCGCCTGGCCTGACCGGGTCTGGTTTTCCTATAGGGCGGCCTGCTACCACTTGGCGCGCCAGTACGAGAACTCCGACAACATAAAGGAGGCGATCCACTTCTTCACGCGCGCACAAGCCTACGGCAACGCCATCCGACTGTGCAAGGTTAGCTCTCGGCGGCACTCGTGGCATGGTCGCCGCTGCCTGCTGCGTCTCATCTGCCGACCGTCCCCAGTGAGGGGTACCACGCGCCCCAGGCCGGGAGCCCGATGGAGGGCTCTGTCGGCTGCACGGGCGGCGATCACGGCGCCACCCGGCGCAGTGTCGAGTGACCGTGTGGTGACGAGCTCGGCCAGGCTCGGCCCGGCGGCCAGCCGGTCCGTCTGAGCCTGCCACGCGACTGCGCCCCGCCGACAGGAGAACCAGTTCGACGATCAGATGCTGAACCTGGCGCTGATGGCCGGGCCGCGCGAGCAGCTGGACGCCGCGCGCTACTTCGAGTCGCTCGGCAAGGGCGGCATCGAGCGAGCCGTCATGCTCTACCACAAGGCCGGCCTGCTCACCAAGGCCACCGACCTCGCCTTCAAGTCAGTTACATGAATATATATATATATATATATATATATATATATATATATATATATATATATATATATATATATGTGTGTGTGTGTGTGTGTGTGTGTGTGTACGTGTGCGTGTGCGTGTGCGTGTGCGTGTGCGTTGCGTGTGCGTGTGCGTGTGTGTGTGTGTGTGTGTGTGTGTGTGTGTGTGTGTGTGTGTGTGTGTGTGTGTGTGTGTGTGTGTGTGTGTGTGTGTGTGTGTGTGTGTGTGTGTGTGTGTGTGTGTGTGTGTACTGCATGCTCACCATGATGTCATGGTGAGTATGCTGTCCGCCTTGAAGCACAGGTGGCGGCTTCGTCAGCTTCCTCGGTGCGCCGTGCAGTGTGTCGGGTGATGAATCACCAGCCTGTCTGCTGGTCTGTGCTGTGGCTTCGGGACGTGACGTGCGGTGGGACGTGGCCGGCAGGCACCAGCAGTTCAACGCTCTCCAGCTGATCGCCAACGACCTGACGTCCGAGTGCGACCCGGCGCTGCTGCAGAAGTGCGCCGCGTTCTTCATCGAGAACGGACAGTTCGACAAGGCCGTTGACATGTTCGCCATCTCCAAAAAGGTGGCTGCTGGTCCCGGCACGGCTGCGAAACGCCGTCGGCGGCACGGAGGAGCAGCTGCCGACGCGTGCAGACGCACTCTTCTGATCCCACGGCTGCACTTGCATTGTGTGTCGCCTGCGAACGCCATAGCAGGCTGACGTGACGTTCGTGCGTGATTTGTCGTAAAGATGGATATTGGCCAACGGAAAACAGTGTACAGGTTGCAGGAGCCTGGAAGCACGTGCTGGTTATACTGTGTCCGCTGCTGGTGCGATTATGTGGGGTGGCGCGGGCCGTGGTCTCGATGTGTACGCAGCAGTCCTGCCGTGGCTGTGGTAACGTGCAATCTTACGTCGCTGCCGCAGTATGTGGAGGCGCTGGACCTGTGCGTAGAGCACAACATACCCATCACGGATGAGGTGGCCGAGAGGCTGACCATCCCTAAAGGTAGGACTGCGACTGCCCTCTGTCCAGTGGACAGTAGTATGTGGGGGCGCTGGACCTGTGCGTAGAGCACAACATACCCATCACGGATGAGGTGGCCGAGAGGCTGACTATCCCTAAAGGTAGGACTCTGTCCGGTGGACAGTAAGCTCTTGAATCATCTCGTAGGAATTGGAGGCCGATGTCACGACTTTTGAGGTAATTTATTGTGTCTGGTAGGGGATAGAAATGCTCATTGTAAGGGTCGTCATCAGCGAATCAGAATAGTTGGACAGATTTTGACCTCGGCAAATATAAACATTGCTGGTAAATGGACATCGGAGGATATTAGAAATTGCGATGACGTGCGTTACGTAAAACGGAGTCGACCAGCTCGTATTGGGTCGCCGTATCGTAGCCTCGGCGCATGAGGATGCCGACGGGCGTTTTTTGCGGCCGACGGGCCGCCGCGGGCGAGAGAGGGCCGGCGGGCGAGGGCCGGCGGGCGGCCTGCTCACGCCCCCGCCGCCGCCGCAGGCGAGGGCACTGACGACGAGCGCTCCCGGGTCCTGCTCAAGGTGGCCGAGTGCGCCTACGCCCAGAACAACTACGTCCTGGCCACCAAGAAGTACACCGAGGCTGGCGACAAGGTGGGCTGGGTCAGGCTGGCCGGTGGGGACCAAGCTGGAATGGTGGTGACCATGCTGGAATGGTGGTGCCAGGCTGGAATGGTGGTGCCAGGCTCGGCTGGTGGGGACCAAGCTTGACTGGTGGGGACCAAGCTTGACTGGTGGGGACCAAGCTTGGCTGGTGGGGACCAAGCTTGGCTGGTGGGGACCAAGCTTGGCTGGTGGGGACCAAGCTTGACTGGTGGGGACCAGGCGCGGCTTGTAGGGACCATGCTTGGCTGGTTGGGACCAGACTTGGCTGGTGGGGACCAACCAGGCGCGGCTGGTTGGGACCATGCTTGGCTGGTTGGGACCAGACTTGGCTGGTGGGGACCAACCAGGCGCGGCTGGTTGGGACCAAGCTTGACTGGTGGGGACCAGGCTCGAGTGGTGGGGACCAGGCTGCAATCGTGGTGACCAGGCTGGGCTGGTGGGAACTGGGATGGGCTGGAGAATCCACTTAAATGTCATGTCAGTCAGAAAGGGAATGAAGCAAGCCAGACTTGACTAAGAATTGCAGGAAGGCCGATGTTGGTTTTCATGTTCAGCGGATAATTGCTCATCTCCATTTGACCACGCTCAGTTTGGGCTTCGGGTCGGACCCGATCGCATCGTGTCAGAACTATTCCTGTTGTTGACGAAAGGCCACAAAACTGAGGGGATTCCCCTCTCCGCCTTCAATATCGCAGCCTCAGATTTGCAGCTGCTTAGTTCGTGTGAACGGCTGCTAAACGTTTGGTGCGTTTGCTTCCGCAGTGGCAAGCTGATATCAGATTGGTTGCAAACCGCACACTACAAACGATCAACGAAGCTAGCGTCGGCCACTGCGAGCCAGCCAATCAGCGGCAGTGTAGTACGAATTACGCGTGGGTGTAGGCCAGGTGTGCTGTTAGGCTAAACAGGGCAGTTGAGCGCGTGGCTGGGGATAAGGCTGTGTCTGGGACGCCGCCGCCTCCCCTCCCCCGGCCCTGTCTTTTACCCACGGCCGTGCCATCGCCAGGTCAACGCCATGAAGTCGCTGATGAAGTCTGGGGACACCAAGCGGATCATCTACTTCGCCCAGACCTCCCGCGAGCGCGATATCTACATCATGGCGGCCAACTACCTGCAGGTGTGCGGGCTGAGGCCCTGTCCTCACGTTACATCCCACCTGAAACCACTCGACAAACTAACGAGAGCGTAATCTGAAATCGCCCGTGTGCACGTGATTGTCGTTAAGCCAGTGTTGCAGGAGGAAACACGGACTTTTTACGGCATATCGGTGCGGCTATCCTTGTATGTTTAACGAACCATACCCTTCATTATACAATAGCCAGGTCATGCCGGAAAACACGATCATTGGCCATCTATTTATCTTAGCCCAATCATTGGATAAAAGGTTGTCCTCGTTCGTGACATGGGCTAGATTAGGTGGAAATAAATGTGTCTTTTAATATTGGATTCAATCACCGCAATATGCTGTCGTTTTGTTACGTGCCATCCGGCTACGTTGTGCCAGCTCCACCCGCCATTACGCAGCGACAGTTTTCAAAAAGTCGTACGCATCCACTGTGCTGTTGCCTGTGTGGGGTGGATGCCCATTATAATCTGTTCCCGTCCTGTGTTGTGTGGCCGGTGTTGGCAGCAGCCGTGTTTGACCTTGAGCGGGATGTTTCGGTCGGCAGTCTACCGACTGGCAGAAGAGCCCCGAGATCATGAAGTCCATCACCACGTTCTACACCAAGGGCAAGGCTTACGACCTCCTGGCCGGCTTCTACGACGCCTGTGCCCAGGCTAGTGATGCGCCAGCGATGCGCCAGCGATGCGCCAGTGATGCGCCAGCGATGCGCCAGTGATGCGCTACTGACGTCAGGGCGTCACTGATTGGCTGGGGACGTGGCAGCACGGAACGTCCGACCGTCCGCTGCTGCGTGGAGAGTGGGGGGGGGGGGGGGGGGGACGGCACGCAACGGCCCTTGCCTGGGCAGTTCCAGGCTGCTTGCGTTGCTGGATAGTCAAAAGGCTTAGCGGCTGATACTGTGTTACACTGTGAACTGCCTACCCTGTGGCTGTAGATCTCTCTGACGTAGTGACGTCAGCATAAGCGGTAATGGCGGCATCGGGCGGCGAGCAGCCAGTGGCCCCGCTCGCCTCAGGTCTGCCGAGGGTGTCGGTGACGTCACTCAGGGGGCAGGTGATCTGGGTACGCGCTTGCTTTCCTTTAGGCTAGCACTGCAGTTGGGGTGAATCTAGCACTGCAGTTGGGGTGAAGTTGGGGTGAATCAAAGTAAACATTAAGACGAGAATTGTGCGCGTTACAGGCGGAGATAGACGAGTTTCATGATTACGATAAGGCGCTGAGTGCTCTGACGGAGGCCTACAAGAGCTTCAGCAAGTCTCAGCAGGGCAACACTGGCGAGCTGGACAACCGAGGGGCCAACCTCCGCGAGAAGATCGAGCTCGTCAAGAAGTTCGTCACAATCCGAGGGTAGGCACCCGTCCGCAGCAGCCTGTCCTGTCCACCGGCCGAGCAGTGGCCGCCCCACGCCCTCCCCATCTGACCTCTGACCGGCCCCCACCGGCCGAGCAGTGGCTGTTCTTCCCCCCCCCTCCCCACCTGACCTCTGCCGGCCCCCAGCGGCCGAGCAGTTGCCGCCCCCACCCCTTCCCCTTCTGACCTCTGCCGGCCCCCAGCGGCCAAGCAGTGGCCGCCCCCACCCCTTCCCCTTCTGACCTCTGCCGGCCCCCACCGGCCGAGCAGTTACCGCCCCCACCCCTTCCCCTTCTGACCTCTGCCGGCCCCCAGCGGCCAAGCAGTGGCCGTCTCCACCCCCTCCCCAATCTGATTCTCTGACCGGACCCCAGCGGCCGAGCAGTGGCTGTTCTTCCCCCCCCCCCCCCCCCACCTGACCTCTGACCAGGTCCCAGCGGCCGAGCAGTGGCTGTTCTTCCCCCCCCCCCTCCCCACCTGACCTCTGAACGGGTCCCAAGCGGCCGAGCAGTGACTGTTCTTCCCCCCCCCTCCCACCTGACCTCTGACCGGGTCCCAGCGGCCGAGCATTGGCTGTTCTCCCCCCCTCCTCCCCACCTGACCTCTGACCGGGTCCCAGCGGCCGAGCAGTGGCTGTTCTCCCCCCTCCTCCCCACCTGACCTCTGACCGGGTCCCAGTGGCCGAGCAGAAGACGGATCACGCATGCTTCCCGGCCACGGCTCTGTCTGTGTCTCGGGGCTGGTGCCACTCGGGATGGAAACATTTCGTTACGTTAACCGATCCTCTCCGTGACGTTTAATTATGTAAACATGAAGCCTCAGACCAGTCCCGCTCAAGCACAGCTGTCCTGCTTGTTGACCCGGACAGGCGCAGCATGGCCATTGCAGTCGACGCGCGCTAAAACACCAATAAATAACCGAGCATGACGCCCCACATGACGGTGGAAGCAGCTTCAACTGCTGGTTGCTGTTTGAGATCTGCTTTGAGCGCTGTTCTGAGGCGGCTGTTGGTATCTCAGCTGCACGCCTTGACTTGTTTTCTGTCTGCGGATGCTGGGTGGCACGGGCGGGCCGTGTGCCATCCGTGTGACTTGGCGCCCGTCGCGGGCCGCCTGTTCAGCCACCCTGACACGAGGTGGACGTGCGGCACTGAGCGGTCCGGCCGTGTGCCATCCGTGTGACTTGACCCCCGTCGCGGGCCGCCTGTTCAGCCGCCCTGACACGAGGTGGACGTGCGGTACTGACGGGCCCGGCCGTGCGTCATCCGTGTGACTTGGCGCCCGTCGCGGGCCGTCTGTTCAGCCGCCCTGACATGAGGTGGACGTGCGGTACTGAGGGGCCCGGCCGTACGCCGGCCGCCGGCGCAGACACTTCCAGGTTAACCCGGACGAGTCGATGGTGGCGGCGCGGGACTTCGCCAACGAGCTGCGTAATGACGAGGCCGTGCGGCGCGGCGACCTGTACGCCATGATCGTCGAGTACCTGGCGCGGCAGCAGAAGTACGAGATGGCGTACAAGGCTATCGAGCAGATGCGCCAGCGGTGCCCGGGCGCCCAGGTCGGTACAGCGCCGCTGCTGGCCGCCGCCGAGCCCCGGTCGCGGGTCCCGGCCGATGTCGGTGACGTAGCCTCTGGGGACCGGGCCCTCTCGGTGTCTGTGGACCGCGAGCGGTCGGTGTCTGTGAACCGTACTCGGTCGGTGTCTGTGGACCGCACTCGGTCGGTGTCTCTGGACCGCGCGCGATCGGTGTCTGCGGGCCGCACCCGGTCTGAACTTGAACAAAAGGCTGCAAGGACCCGTTCGGCTACTTACATTCATGTCACATTCATGGCCCGTAGTTGCAGCTGGTGGCGTTTGGCGCGCGCCGCGACTCGGCGCGGGAGGCCCCCGACATCGGTGTCCGCTGCGATGGCTCGTGCCTCACCGGTGCCACGCCGGCCCGCCCTCCAGGCCATCCCCGCAGCCGTCGGCGTCTGCTGGTGTCGCCAGCCATCTGCAGTGCATCGCTGATGTTTGCTGGTGTCGCCAGCCATCTGCAGTGTGTCGCTGATGTTTGCTGGTGTCGCCAGCCATCTGCGGTGCGTCGCTGATCCGTGCCGGTGCCGCAGGTGGGGCACCACATCAGCGAGCCGGTGCTGCTGGCCATCCAGCAGGCCGTCGGCGTCCAGATCAACCGGCAGTCGCGCGGCAACCTGTCCGGCGGCGGCTTCGACGCCAACATCGAGATCTCCGACGACGAGTGAGCCCGGCCGCGCCACGTGGCTGAGCCGGGCCGCGCCACACGGCTGAGCCGGGCCGCGCCACGTGGCTGAGCCGGGCCGCGCCACGTGGCTGAGCCAGGCCGCGCCACGTGGCTGAGCCGGGCCGCGCCACACGGCTGAGCCAGGCCGCGTCACGTGACTGAGCCGGGCCGCGCCACACGGCTGAGCCGGGCCGCGCCACGTGGCTGAGCCAGGCCGCGTCACGTGACTGAGCCGGGCCGCGCCACACGGCTGAGCCGGGCCGCGCCACACGACTCGGCTCGTTCGCCGTTGCTGACCGGTCCGCCGGTCCGCCGCTGCCGACCGTTGTTGGGCGCAGCGTTGGCGTCCGCGCAGGCCGGCGGCTCTCTCGCCAGCCAGCTGAGCGTGCGGTCGTAGCTCTGCCAGTGCTGTCTTCGCCGACGTCGTGTTGTGCTGCGGTCGGCATCGTCATTTTTGTTAGTTTCTGGAGATTGAGGCGAACGCATCTCCATGAAGGTTTCCTCCCCGCTCACTTGTTGGCTTTTCCTGCCAGTGCTCGCGTGCACTGCAGCTCCCACGCCGAGTGGTGTTACCGCACATACTCATACGAGCCTTATGAGTGTCGTGTTCCTGCTGAGTGTAGGACCGACCTCGACCACCTGTTCCGTCCATTGTCTGTGATGCCGTGTCAGTGATAGGCACCGGCTTCCGTCCGTCCAAGGAATCACTACCAACTGGTCCGACTATTCTATCACCGCCGTAGGGAAAATAACCGCGTGCATATGTGTGTATGTGTGTGTGTGTGTTGGTCCGCAATGTTTTACCGATGGCCGCTATTGATTCTGGCGCCGGAGTTCTAGCGTCCTGAGGTATAGAATGTCACTCGGGACCGGGAAGAATAAATACACGTTTTTGAAACCACGTGACTGGAAACAGGATCGCCGGCTTTAACACGCGCCCGGGTGGCCGGCTGGATACCGTTCGCCCGGGTGGGGCGGGGGTGGGGGGAGGGTCAATTTGGCCCCACCCCTGAGATCTCGGGAACTAAGAAAGCTAGAGACACTAAATTTACACCGTGTGCTGAACTGTGTACGTGAACTCACTTAGGATAAAGTTTGAGGCTCTTAGGTCGTGATCTCCGGGTCAAATAAGGTGAAATAAGGTCAAATTCCAGGTTAGTCTTCAAAGTGCTCCCAGAACCTAGATAAGAAAGCAAAAGATCGCATGATCATTAAGGTCAGTGACCTTGTTTGACCTCTCGAAGGTCATGGTATCCAAAATCAGACAAGACTGCTTTAAGTTTTGCATTGGAATAAGCGACAAAGATTACGCTAGGCAGTATGTTTCTAAAAACAAAGTATCAACTTGGGTCATTTTAGGTCAATGACCTATTATGACCTATAAGAAGTCCATGGAAGATGCATAATGCGGTTCCTGCTATTAATAAATTCGAAATGAACACCAGAAACTATCCCATATAGCAAGCCCTTAGGTAATAAAACAGTTTGGTTTTGACCTTGGTCCGATCTTCGTACCTGCCCTTGGGTCAACACAGCTTGCTCATTCAATTGCCGTGTTGCCTAAGAAAACAACTCAGAGATGTACGGCTTCGTCTAACACTCCGTTGTTTGATCACATTGAACGATTCCCTAGGAATTGCCCTCGCTGAAACCATGGCCTCACTTTGACCTGCCATAAGTCAGCGACCTGACAAGGTGCATCCTAGTTTTTGGTGTCAGACGATCCGCTAATTAATTAACTACAACTATGCAAAAAGCAGTATTAACGACGTCTGTTCGCCTGAGATGCAAATAAAGATTCCGTTGGCAGCAGATTTTGATCGGCACACAACAGTTGGACTCGCCGGCCCGCCTGTCGAGTCCAACTGGTCCGAGCGTCCGGCCGGTAGACGGGCTGCCGAGCCCAACTGGTCCGACGGTCCGGCCAGCAGGCGGGCTGTCGGGTCCAACTGGTCCAAGTGTCCAACCGGCAGATGGGCTATCGACTCCAGCTGGTCCGACGGTCCGGCGAGTCCAACTGGTCCGATTGTCCGGCCGGCAGACGGGCTGTCGAGTCCAGCTGGTCCGACGGCCCGGCCGGCAGACGGGCTGTCGAGTCTAGCTGGTCCGGCCGCACAGTACAGTGTTGGCCCCGAACGTGGTACCCCATCGGTCCCTGGCTCGGTTTCGCAGTCTTCGTTAGGTCTATTTCATCTTCACATGTCCCCAACGGCAGTGGGTTTCGTTTTTAATCAAGTGAGCTGTGTGCACCGTTAGATAGCCCGTGGTGTCAGGGGTGGATCGTCGTTTTAAAGCTTGGTGTGGCAGGGCGGGACGTAACGAGGACCATCATGCCGCCACGACGTATGCAAGCCGTCAAGGAGGATCGAGAAGCGTGCATATGCCACAGGAGGTCCATGTGGTCGTAAAACGCCAACTGCTGCATGTGTGCTGGGACCCCAGAAGGCAGGCGATTGCGGACCGCAATACCGGCACGAAGCCTTAGAAAGCCGGGCCCCGAGATAGCCGAGGCAGAGGTCATAGGTCGCCCCCCCCCCCCCCCCCCCCCCCCCAACTGCGTATCACTCGATGCTGGCGGGCCGGCTCGCGGCGGCGACTGGGACAGATGCGGCGTCCAATTTAAGATGATTTTTCTTCTGCATGGAAGGTACAACCCTGCGACCTGTTCTACGGCCGCCAACGTGAATCTCACATCGGTACAGTACCTATGTATTTTTTGTTCAAATAAACCCTTGACAGCGTACAGCTGACAACGACATGGCAGGATGTCCATGGTACGGCGCCCCAGGAAAATGCTCGTGATCAAACTCAGAGATTGCAACTGTTTGAATTTGATAGCACTGTCATGGGATTTCACCTGCCAGTGCAACAAATTCGTCCAATTTTTCAGCGTGTATACCGCGCAGGTGGGTGCCGTTATGGCATAGCGTGTTTATTGACATGCTACCTGTACTGCCGCCATGTAAAATGTGCAAAATACGTGTCGACCACGGTGTGAAGTAAGGCATTGATCCCGTTCGTGACCGCCAGCAACAGGCTCTGCCTAGGCCGATGAGATGCGTGTGTGCCCATGCATAGGGGCGCTTCGAATCGTGGTCTTCCCCAGATGGGACAAAAAAGGAGACCGCGCTCATGACGTGGGGGATGAAGCGTGTTTATGTCTGTGTACGATCTCAGTCTGCGCGCCCTTGTTCAATCAGATTTAATTTCCCTTAAAGCGGTGTTTTGGATGCAACAATGAGTTTCACAAATGTGAGTACATTCAATCCATGTTATGTGGGCATGCTATGTGGCTTTCCCTTCTTTCATGCGGAGCCCCCCCCCCCCCCCCGTGAGGCACCACCTTTCCGTGATGGGGGGGGGGATTGCGTGCCCCAATGATCCTGCGGGTGGTTAGGGAGGCTTGTAAAGCGCCCCTTCCGGCCAAAGAGGGCCAGACGAAACGTGCCTCACGCAAGGGCTCTGACTCGTTCAGAGTAGGGATTAGCAACCCCTCGGCCCCAGCTTTTCAGTCTTATCTGGGTCTCGCCGTACCCCGTTGGATCCGCAGGGAGCGATGAAGGGATCCTGGTCACTGAGGGAGTTGCCCTGCGGGTCAGTCGGGGCAGCTTACCAACACGTGGCTTTGGCCCGAATTTGTGATCCTGCGGATGCCTCGTGAAGTCCCCACACGAGGAAATCGGCTGGTCAGGCGTCGTGTTTTCGTGACACTGGCTTGGAGGCAAGCAGGTCATGTGGCGGGTGTTGAGGGGGGAGCTGCCGGGTGCAGTATCTGCCTCCTGACATCATTAAGGGGCCGTACCTCGGTTTGTCACCAGGGTGCCTGGTTAACACCTGCGAACCGAGGCACTGGCGCCCGCAGACTCGTGCCCGGTGGCTCCCGCAGCAACTCTTTTGGCACACTGGTCTGCGTATAGCGTGCTGGTAGCCCTGGCGGCTCCTCTCTTAGAAGTGGACCGTCCCGTGTTGGGCTCCGTGGTGGGCGGGGAATCAGCGCGCCGAATACAAAGACATACCTATGGACACTTTATCATCAACCAATCCCCAAACCCCGACCGTCGTCCTGTGCCACTACCCCAGTTTCTGGTCGTAAGATCCGCCAAAGTAGATGGCCATGAAAGAACAGTACCGCTCCGAGTGAACCCATTTCAGTGCCAACAAGCATTTTCAAAGATCGGGACGCCCAAGGATGTCTTTTCGTATCCGGACGGAGGCATAGAAGTGCATCTAACAGACGAACGCGAGATCCAGCGCATGCTTAAAACGACAACACTTATCTACAAAGTACGAGGACAGGGAGAGGTTAGGGTGCCCGTATCGGTGCACCCTCACCCCTCTAAAAACTACTCCAAGGGTGTGATTACATGCCGGGACCTTCGCGGTGTGAGTGATGAGGATGTTGCTGAGAGCTTGTGTGAGGAAGGGGTAACGGCGGTGAGACGCATCAAGAGGAGAGAGAGAGGAGAGCTGACCGATACTGATTCAATTATTCTGACGTTTTGCTCTGCAAGAGTGCCAGATAGGGTCCGCGTGGGATATCAGTCGGTTCCTGTTAGGGTCTATGTACCCGATCCAGTCCGATGCTACCGATGCCAGACGTATGGTCACTTCACGGACAAGTGCTGGAAAGAAGTTAGATGCGGAAGGTGTGCGGAAATAGGTCACCAACACTCTTGAGTGTAAATCAGAAACCGTGAAATGCGTCAACTGTGGTCAGGGTCACGTAGCGTCATATCGCAGCTGTCAGTCCCTCTTGTCAGCGAAAGCTGTCCTGAACATCAAAGTGAAGGAAGGAGTCTCGTTTCGGGAGGCCCAACGCTGACACAACGGTGCGAGCACCACAAGGACATACAAAGACGCCCTTACCAATCCGGCAAGAAATTGAGCCCAAGCAACACCCGCAGCCAACGAGGTACTGAAACTGAGTGGACTTGATGATTTCAAAGGCATGACTGTAGGCGAGTTTGTACAGCTGATACTAAGCACACTTGTATCAACTGGCTCTGCTGTCCCCTCGTACCGGAAGTCGGATCCTCCGGAAAAGAATC